TTTTTCCGGGCACTTTTTTGACACATAAAATCTGCTCTCTTTTCTAATCCTTCTTTCTTGTTGGCTTCTATTACATTTGTATCTCCCAGTTCTCCTATATCTCTTTTCTCGTTCCTCTGCCTTAACTCATCTTTTTCTTACTGTTGCCCAAATGTGAACATACAACCCAGCTCAACCCTCAGACCCCTGCTGACACCTTTCCAGGACTGTGTCTGAGAATTCATCTTGGTCTCAGCCATCGTCCACAGTAGCACCGATACTCACCCAGCCCTCTGTAGCAAGCTCTCATCTCTGAGGCTTTTGCTCAATAACATCACTTAAACCCATGGAACTCAAGCTCAAGGTGTTTGAAAGTAAACACATCCTTATTCCTTACCCAATCTGACTTCCCTGGTGCAGTGAGCATAATCTGTGTCTCTTATCACTCTTCATTTTGAAAATCTCCTCTTTCCCTATAGAAGATGCTGCAGCCTCCTTAGTCTGGTGCTCAAAGTCCCTCTAGGAATTTATTCCAACCTACTTTCCTAGCTTGACTTCTTGTTATACCATGTGATCTCTCCCATGGCTGTTTCACAGTTGTTCTGTGGACCAAGGTATTGAGAAAGAAGCATGGCTTTCAATACCATTCAACCATGAACCTGAAAGCGTGTGTGTGTGTGCACGTGTGTGTGTGCGCATGTGAGTGCACTTATTGAATTACATGGTACATGTTGGCACTGCTCTTCAAAAAATAATGGTAAGTTGTGACATTCCAGGCCAGAAATGGGCCCTTTCAAGTACAAAGCTTTTCTTGTCTCCTTGAAATAAAGGTTAAGCAGAACATATTTTAGAGTGCCTGACATTCCATTGCATCTGAGGTAGAAATACAGGTGACACAAAACTGCTAACGGTACGTAAGGGAATATGAGTTAGTACAGAAATGTCGAATATTCACATTACCTTACTTAGATTAAATGGCCACTATAGGCAGTTGTCTGTCAAAATTCTTTTCATTTGGTAATTCACTTTAACAGATGAGTGGTTTCATTATTGCAGTGCTTATGAGTGTTGAAAAATAACTGAGGTAGTTTTCTCTAATTGCTCCTAAGTAACCCTATACTTCTTGTGATTTTTAGGCTTCAAGGTTTGTTTTTATGTGGGGTTTTTTTTTTTCTCTCTCTCTCTTTTTACAAAAAAAAAAAAAAAAAAAAAAAAAAAAAAAATTAAGCTTAGACCTCTTGGAAACATTTAGCATAGCCTCTATAATTTGATTACCAAAAGGGTCAATACCAAACCAATTACTTTTCCTCCAGGATAAACATCCAGGAGGTTCTAGAAATGCTTATGTTTTGCAGAAATAAAGTGGAAATTATTAGTGCTTGATACACTGAAAATGAGACCGAGAAAATATTTTAATTTATAAATAAAAGAAAAATACATTCAAGTAAAACCAAATAAAAATAGCCAATCCTTTTGCCTTAAAATGAAAACAGATTCTGGGAAGAGCCCTGTATTAACATTATTGGGGCTAATTACAGACATGAGTTCCTTCTACCAATGCTCTAGTTTTGACTACACATAGATGTATTTTATTTCAGGTTATAACACAGTACTTAAAACTGTAATACTATTTCCTTTCAGAGAGGAAGGGAGAGGGAGAGAGAGATAGAAACATCAATGATGAGAAAGAATCATTGATTGGCTGCCTCCCACATGCCCTCTAATGGGAACCGAGCCTTCTACCCAGGCATGTGCCCTGACCAGGAATCAAATAGTGACCACCTCCTGGTTCAACCACTGAGCAGCACCAGCCGGGCTGCCTTCCAGTTTTGATTGCCATTAGCATGTTGCTTTTTTGAACGTAGAGTACTTCCTGTATTTTAAAAAGTCACTAAAAAATATTATTTTATTTTTGAGTACGGGGTATTCCCAAAAGAATGGCTAAGTAGTTTTGTCAGTGATGAGCCAAGAATTGGAATTAGATTTAGTGATTGATTTAATTAATAGAATTTTGAAGAAAAGGTTTTTTTGTATATTGTTACCTAGGTATTCACAGAGTTAGAAATCAAAGTGAATACATCTTTTTATAAGAATGTTAGTGCTTATGGCAACTAGGAATTTGTTTTAATGAAAGATGCTTTTATACACAAAGGTGCTTTTTTGCCTGGTCTTAAGTTACAATTAATTAAGCGCTATAGAATGTAATAGATAATTATAGAGTTAATGTGGATGCCAATGGATTTGCTAGTCTTTCTAAATGGCTATTGTTTTCTAATAGTCTTCAGGGGATCATTTATATAGCTATTGTGGTTCTAAAAATATCTTTAAGTACCAATGGGACAGACTTTTTTGAAGCATGGCTATTATAAAATGCACTTTTACTTGAAGGGTGTCATTTTGATTATATCACTCAATTACTTTCATGTGCAGGAAAAAAAAATAACAGTGCTGAAAAAGAATAAAGGAAAGCCCTTTATAGATAGAAAAATTTCAGGACAATATGCTAATTAAATAGAGAGAAATTCAAGACTATTGGGAATCTGTTCTATTCTTTATGATTTTTAGCAATTGTATTCATTGGGATTTTAGCTGGAGAAGTTTTTATGTAGCCTTATTGTTTTTATTACATTAATATTTCTACAGCAGAGAGGTAATTAGGCAAATGCCTTGAATATTTAATATGGTAGCAACTTTGGGGAAATAAGCATTTCTGGGTCAAAGCCCTTAACAAAATATTGTCATATGCGAGCTGATTAATTGAACCGAATGTCAGGTTGTTTTGTCAGCATCCAACCAGACTCCCAGTCGCTCAGCTCATTACCTAAGGCTGTTCCAGAAAGGAAAGACTGCTTATGTCAGAGTTAATGGTGTTCTTCTTCATCTCAGCTCCTAATGGAGTAAATCCTGATTAGAGAAGCCTTACAACCTAATTCAATGAGCTAAGTGTAAGATCAGCCCAAAGAGCCTCAACCTGAATGTCCTACATTTGAAATGCTGGCTGAGTAAGGGTCTCACTCCGCCATGCAGTGGTTTCTATACGTCACTGGCGCCAACCTAAGGCAGGTTCTAGGCTCGCTCTGGTCCTTGCTGCCTGTATCTACCATTGAATGCAAATAAATAAATTAAATAAATAAATAAATAAATAATTTCAATTTTTAATCACACAAGAGAAGTTGAGGGTTTTCATCAATTACTAGGTATATTTAGTACAAAAAAAATGTTGTGGATGAGCATTCCTCTTTAAAATATCCCAGGGACTCAGATAGTATGCCACTGTTTGACTTTATTTTAAAACCTGAATGAAAGACACATAAAGTTTCAAATGTATATTCCACATTTTTTTTTTATCAGGGTGACCAGCGATATATTTTTGCTGCCAGGTTAACGACTTTGGGGGGCAATCTCTGCATGAAGCTCCCCCTGCTTTTTTGTGCAGACGTAAGACTCTTGTAAACAGCGGCTCCCGTAGAAAGCCCCTGGCTCTCCTGGGAATGCGGGCGGTCCTCTCCCCCACGTTAAATCGTCCACCCAGACACATTCCCAGCGTCTCCTCGTACTGGACTTACCCCTGCTCGGCAAGGCCCGGGCACAGCTGCTTGAGAACTTGCTTTTGCCATCGAGTAAGTTAGGCCAGTGACTATCTCCCACATGTTACAGTGAGGTACTACCTAAGTGTAGGCTTGTTTCACATTGTAGGTGCCATCCGTCAAGTTTATTTTTGAAGAAGGAATAGTGTTACCAAAAATAAATAAATAAATACATTTGAAAAAGTTCCCTTCTTGTGATGTTGTGGTTGAGCATTACCATTTGCAGCCCCAACCTGTGTGGGTCAGGGTTACTGTTCACATCCTGCAACGTAAGCAGGAAATAAACGAAGGCCTCCGGCTGACTAGGCCTGCAGAAGCCCTCCATGACCTCTTTCATCAGAGAGTTGTGTTCCTAACCATAGGCTTGTTGTTCTTCTTTGAACGGCTTTTAAAGTGAATGGTACTGGTTGTTTCTAAAGATTCTGGAATGTTTCCAGTCTCCAACGTGTAATTCTGAAGTTCTGTCCTGGGCAGTTAGTTCTGTCTCCACGTCTTTAGGGGATAGACTTTGGAGATCACAGATACACTTGAGCATACGCCAAGCCCCCTATGCGTATAGTTATTACTGTTTCGAATAACTAAGAGGTTGATATCCAGGATGTAAAATGAAATTGTGTAGTGAAATGAACCTCCCGTTAAGGAGGTTAGATAAAGGCCTACGTCAGAAGCTCTACTTCATATTCTGCATAGACTCTTTTCTGTCCCTTTGGAAGTTACACTCGAGGTCCCATTCGCTGGGTCAGCAGTTCCATATTATATGTGAGCTGGACTTTTCAAAGAACTCCTGAGGCAAAGAGGCGATGAAAAGGGAGCCCATTCTTGTGGGTTAAGGAGGTGGAAGAGGAATTAGGACGGAGCAAGGACTCAGCTCTGTCTGTCTTCACAGCAATAAGAAAATCACTCGCCACTTTCCCAGCTTCTCGCAGATACATTTGAGAGATAAGGCGAACGCCCTTGGAACCCAATACATGTCCTCTGGGTCTTATTACTGTCGTTCTTGCCCTAGACTTAGGTGAATGGCTTTAGAAAGCCTTCATTTATTAGAACACTCTGCTTCATTCCCTGTAGGACTGGAGTGTATACCTCGGAAATATTGTGAAATTTTATTCTAAAAGCACATGATTTTATGCATTGATTTTCCATAACATCTTTACCCACAAATATAAATGCTGTGTGTTTTTTTTTTTTGTGTGTGTGTGTGTATGTTTTTTTTGGGGGGGGGATGACAAAAGTTGTATGTTTAGAGTCTTGCAATAAAAATGTCACACCGCTTGAAACATTTTGTGTGAGGCATTTTAAAAATCTTAACTTTAATAATCTCTTTTGTGGCTAAAATGCTCCCTCAGAGCCCCTCCCCCTCCAGCATTTGTCATGTTCCGTCCTCCTCCTCCTCCCCTCTCTGCTTACCCCGTGCTGATGCTCCTTTCCTTGCAGAGACCCTCCTGGATGACTTCCTCCTCACCTACACCGTCTTCATGACCACGGACGACTTGTGCCAGGCGCTGCTGAGACAATATCCTTCGTCAGCTTCGGGGTGGGGGGTGGGGGGTGGGGGCTGGGCCGCCCTCACCCCCGCAGGTAGATGACTTGCATTTAGGGATTCACTGCCTTTCTTCACTTACTCAACCCCCAGTAGGGTACGGCTATGCTCCATATAAATGTGACGGTCAGTCAAGGCAAAAGCTGAAATGAGACAGAGTAGACCAGGGGGACCTGGAAATGCAGCTGCCTTTTTCCCGTTCGAAATCGTACTGTTCATTATTGTTTTCTTCTTCATACCTATGTCTCAAGACTTGACACATTTGGAGGCAGATGTGGCCTCCTGGGTAAGCCCCGGGGTCAAGAGGTTGAGTGAACTGGCAGTATGTGAATTTACAAGGCAACTCCTCAGTCAGGGCCAGACCATGTGACAGGGAATGTGTGCGTGTGTGAGATCATGTTTCTGGGCAAGTGTCCCGGGGGAGGCCAGCCATCCCCTCACCTGGGAGGTCTGAACTACCCCCCAGAGCCACCCCTCGTCTTTTCAGAGCTTTGCCACGGCATGCTCTCCCAGAAGGATGGATGTGATGAGAAGGGTAATGACCAGGGTAGGGAGCTTTATGGTTTATGCACCGAGTAGAATACGCAACAGATGAAAGGCCAAAGAGCCAAGCCAGGAAAACTCCCTCGGCTCCCCAGAGGCACTCCTTGCCTCAGTGTTGAAGGTGGGATGCTGCAGGAGCATTCAGGTAGCTGGTAACTGTTGGGGTTTTATTCAGCCAAGCTGAAGATTCCACTCGAGCCCACGTAAAAGGCGTTAAAAAGGTTGTTTTGTTTTGTTTTGTTTGTTTATTTATTTATTTATTTATTTATTTGCATTTACCTACGTTTTATTGAGCCCTAGGAATGGCCTTTCCTGTTAAATAGTTACATTTCTCCTCCATGTTAGCATTTTTTGCTTAAAATAATACTTTAAAACTTTATAGAGGGCATAGTCTCTCTTAAAAACATATAAGCTAGAAACGTTTTATTGCTTTACTATATCATGTGGCCACTGTAGAGTTCACGAAACTTCTCAGCCAGTTCATAAAACTGGTCTTGAAACATAGTTTTGAATTTGGGAAATTTCAAAAACAGTTTTCTTCCACAGCTGCTGGGTGTTAACTAAAAAATTAGCAATAATTACAAGATTTTCCATTTTTCTTTCTTTAAAAGTGTTTTGAAAAAATATCTATGAGCTGACTTCTATATTTTAATGCTAGCATATTTCCAAAAGGATTGCCATCCCTTAACTAATAGTTTGTTTTATAGGCATTATGTGCCTTCCAATGATTATTTTTAAATATGATCCTAGCATAATTTGTGACTACCACTGAGTAATTTAATGCCTCATAGAATTTCCCTGAAGAATCTCTAAAACTTTGCTTGCCAGTAAACATGTTTTGGGTCTTACTAAGACATCTTATACATAAATGTAGTTCGATTTCTTTTTTAGAAATCATCAAAACCCATGAAATCCAGAACATTTTAAGCCAGGAATCTTTTTACATGACTATTTTGATATATTTACAACCTCTGCCTTTTATGAAATAATGCAAATCACAAACAAAAATATGGTATCTATATTTAATCTGAGATAGTTTGGCATATATTTTAGTGAAGATATCTTTTATACCCTATTGCTATCACATTCTAAAGAATGGCCCAAATTATTATTTTTTTGTTTTGTTTTCCCCATTGTTTTTTGAATATTAATTATAGGTTAGAGCCACTTCTACAGTGTTGTGATATCTTAGGTGGATACTTTTATTGCAATAGAATTTAAGACCTTTCAGCTTTTATCATCATAAATAGCATTATTTAAGCTCACAGCCCAGGTGGGCTAATGTTCACTGTGTTATACACTGAATACCTTCCCACTATTTCTCTCCCCACACCCAGCTAAATTTATCAGTCAGTGTAATTTAGCATGAGCAAAATGTGTGAATATACATTTGAATATGTCCCAATACCAGAAAACCAGAATAATATGAATGTAAATTTAATCAGTAAATATTTTTAAAGTGCATCTTATAGGGTAGAGAACATGACTAAGCAGATAAATGGTGATAATGATGGATGAAATTTCAGTTCTCAAAATTGCTTTAACCTTCAAGCCCATAATAGTAGAATGTATATGCAGCTATTATAGAAAGCTTACCTCTTGACCTAAAAGAAAGAAGTTTAGTATTTCTTAATTTTCCAGATTTTTTTTTTTCTTCATAGTTACAGGGAAAGGAGAAAAGGAAATTTGCATAAGTGGGGTAAATCTTTATATTTTGCCTGAGTTTATGTCACTAGTGGAAATTTAAAAATCAGATGGTCATAATGTATTTTTACAGGTTCGAGAGACGGGGACTGAATTATGTTTTAAAATATGTACAAAACCTGATATAGAATCTGTTTTTCTTTTGCAATTATGTATCAACCTTAAGGAATGTAGCACCTGTCCATCAACCCCAAAGTCTACCTGTGTATTGTATCTTAGCATTTCCTATTCCTAGTGAACTTTCCAATGTGTCCAGGAGACTCAGAAATCATAATTTTGCAAACAAAAACACTAGGTTGATTTGGAAAACACCAAGCTTCTGTCTCATTCCTCGGGCTTCCAGCATGTTGCCTTTAAGGTTATTATTTTTAATAATTTTTAAATATATATTTTTATTGATTTCAGATATAGAGAGGGAAGGAGGGAGGGAGGGAGAGAGGGAGAAAGGGTGGAAGGAGGGAGGGAGAAACATCAATGATGAGAATCATTGATCAGCTGCCTCCTGCATGCCCCCTATTGGGGATCAAGCCTGCAACCCGGGCATGTGCCCTTGACCAGAATAGAACCTGGGACCCTTCAGTCTGCAGGCCAATGCTCTATTCACTCAGCCAAACCAGCTAGGGCGTTTTTAACAATTTTAACATTATTAACACGTGGTCACTGTATACAAATTAGAAAACACACTTATAAGTATAGCAATTCATGTGATCTGAAATCTCATTACCTTGAGAAGCCACTGTTAACTGTCAGTATATCTTTCCAGATAATGGAATTATTCATATAAATGAGCATAGTTAATGGAAATGGATCATCCTAACATGCCCTTTTCTTATTCTCCTACTTAACGATATGCTAGGATATTCTCTGTCAGTAAATGTACTGCTGGGCTATCAGTTTTATGGCTGCAGAATAACCCATTAAATGGATATGTAAATAATTTCATTAACTATCCTCAATGATTAAAGCATTCATATTTTTCTTTTCTTTGTTCCAATGAAAGTTAAAATTAGCAGTCCTTTTTACTTATGTTTGCACATTTATCCAGTCCCTTTTTATTCAAGTAAATTCTTAGGGTGGGCATTTGAAACATGTCACCAATTATGCTTCAGAAATCTGTGCTCATTTGGGGCTACTTTAGAAGTAACTAGTTTTACAGAACGACTTTCTGAAAAGCTAAGGATACGTGGCCTCGCTCTCCTAACTCTCATGGAAACAGTGTGGCCAGGTCCCTTGGAGCCACCCTTGGAATTAATGAGCCACCTCGGATCTCTTCGAGGTGACATTAACCCTGGCTGCCTACGGAACTAAGTCAGCAGCTGACAGTGGCATCATCTCACCCTCACCTGCACGGCCTGTCCCCGGGTGTGTGTGAGTCATTTTCCTGGCGTTACTTTTGTTCTTTGCCATATACACCTTTTGGTCTTTCTACAGATATTTTTTTCTTCCTTGTAGATTCTTTAGAAACTATGCTTCATAGGAATATTTTTATTTTCAACAAGGCAATATTCTTTCTTAACCACTTGCACCTATTCTGCCAAGAAGTATCAAGGCAAAGAAGAAAACTCAGATGTTCCTCGTCGGAAACGCAAAGTCTTGCATCTTGTCTCCCAGTGGATTTCTCTGTACAAAGACTGGCTACACGAAGACGAGCACTCCAAAATGTTCTTAAAGGTAATGGGAAACCGCCAGCTATTCCTGGATGCTGGATGACTGGTTTTATTTTTAGTTTGCGTTTGAAAAACTCATTTGTAAGGTTATGGTTGTGATTTGAACAAAGTGTTCATTTGTTTTGACTTGTAAGGCCTGATGTTCCACACATAGATAGAATTTTTTAAATTTTGAATTCATTGTGAAAAAGTGTAGAGGGCAAATTTTACATTCACTAACTTAATGTTACCTTATATAAGTCATGAGAAGTTTAATTGCAAATGAAATAATTAAGGAAGGTAAAATAAAACATACTTCTAAACTTAATAGTATTTCATATGTTGGGATTTATTATAAATTTGAACTAACCTGTCTCATGTATATGATATTTGGTTAAAATATTACCATTTAAAAACTATATTCCCAATATATGCCATTCTCAAAATATGCCATATCCTCAAAAAGTTTCATAACTATATTATGGAACTTTGAGGATATGACATATTTTGAGAATTTTAAGCAATAATAGCTTATAAGATGGATGCTAACCTAGATTTACATTGGGTATTAGATAAACTGATGTATTTTTCTAATCAGTAATAGGCTGCAACATCTTCTCAACACAGGTCACTCTCTAGAGGTGGTTTGTAGGCGCTCGGATTCCTCTGGCCCCCAAAGCTATGCAGGTTAACACTAAGGGCTCAGTGGGACTGGAGCCAGGAAGGGCTCTGTTTCCAAACAGGGAAGTGTCAGGCTGTTTCTCTTTCATGGAGTAAAACACTTGAATTCAAAATTCAGATGTCATGTAGACATCCAGCGTAAAGGTGTTCAACCAGCTCTTTGACTAAACTAACGTTATTTCAAAACAATTGGGTAATGTAACTCAATTGACATTTTTTCCTCCCTGTTCCATACGTGAAAAAATGTGGGTAGCATTTTTTAACGTATGGAACAGGCATAGGATTCTGCAGTAGCCAGCCAGAGAGCTCTGAGTTTCCAGCATTTCCTACCTTCAGCCCTAAGAGTGTGAGAGGGCCGTCCGTGCCAGCCGAGTGAGGGACTCGGAGGTGTGACCCCACTCAGGATCTCCCTGGTCCCAGGATTAATAACCCCTGCGTTGTCCTGGGGGCCACCAATTCCCTGGGCATAAGCAGGTTGTATGGGACTAAAAGAACATTACTAAATGGACATTAAACCAATTCAACTGCCGTTTTTCTTCTTCCCCCAGACCATATACAGGAACGTTCTGGATGATGTCTATGAATACCCAATACTTGAAAAAGAATTGAAGGAATTTCAAAAGATACTTGGAATGCACCGTCGTCAGTATGTAGTTTATTTTCCATGTTATGGTCAATGAAAGAAAGCAGCAAATTTGGTAGAATTCGAGATGTCCCAGAAAATCCATTTTGAACACTTTGAATCTGACAGTCATCTTGATTTCTTTAGTTTTTCTAGTTGTAAATTGTGTTTTGTTTTTATATCTCAAAATGAATGAACACTTAACAAGCTTATTGACTACTTTTTAACTCTCTTCTGATGCAAGAGAAAAAAACTGAGCCAAGTCAACATAAAAGCAATAATTTCAGCCCTTGGTTGGAGTGTCATCTGGTACACCAAAAGGTCTCTGATTCGATTCTCAGTCAGGGCACATATTTAGCTTAGGGGTTCAAATCCCTGGTTGGGGTGTGAGGGTGTGCAGGAGGCAGCCAATCAATATTTCTCACATCAATGTTTCTCTCTCTCTATCCCCCTTCCTCTCTCTAAAAATAAAATCAGCAAATATATCCTTGGGTGAGGATTAAATCAAAAAACAATTATTTAATATATTAATAGGTAATTTTAAAAGTGTAACTATTTAACTTGTTGTTTTAGGGGCTCATAGCTCTCTGATGGAATAGAGAAAAAAATGTTTTACAAATATGTCCCAGTGAGCATTATAAAAGCTCAATTTTATGGGTTCCTGGGGATTTTTTTTTTTAAATCAATTTAGAAAGATTAAAGGAAACCATTTACTCAGTGACCTCAGCATAACCAAGTGCCTCCCAGGTGTCTATCATTAGTCTTTAAAATTGGCAAAACTTGACTTTGCTCTGATTATACGAACTCTCCTATTCATTTTGGTAAATAAAAACATCAACTCATTGTTCAGCTATTGCTGCAAATCTGAAGGGGAAAATTGTCCTCTGCTTTACAGTGTGGTTTCTATTTAGCAAACACGAAGCACATCTGCTGTCAAGTGGTGAAACCTCTATTAAGATTCCAGCAGTCACTAAGGCATATCTCCTAGAAAATGTTAACTCAGGCCTTCCTTCCAGATTGCTGATTTGAGATTTAAAACATGACCTGATTTCAATAAAGAATGATCCTCCTGCAAATTAAATGTCTAGGTAATTTTAGGAGCAAATAAATCCTCAAACACGAAAATTACATGTTTAGAAATTCAGAAATGAGGTGTTCGTGGGGATAGTATGTTAGAAATGAATGTTGTGGGTTTGCATGGTCTTCTTTTATTGGAGTCTGCACTATAGTGTTTCCATTGCCTGGGACTAGTATGAAAATAGGAACAATGAAATGAGACAAAAAAGAGAGACAAACCACATCAAAATAGTCCCCCTATGGCCTTATTCCTGTTGTGAACCTTCCATCCTTGGCTTCATACCCTTAAATGCCTTAAAGGCATGAATGGAATGTAACAAATCTCATTGAAGAACTTACGTAAAAGTGGGAAATAATAAAGTAAGAGAATGGTGTAAGACCATTTTGGGTAATGGTGTAAGACAAGATTATGAAATGTCTTTAGATTCTGTAAGAAGATTTGAGCTGGGGACCTACAGAATGTCCCCCCAGTTCCACCACACGTAGAAATATCCTGGGAGAGATGCAGTGCGGCCCTTTAGCTGCCGCCCTGACAATCCTTTGCACTGAAGTCTGCCCCTCTTGGAGGGCACTGGGGCTTCTGTGGAGGGATGAGATCTGGCTCTGCCTGCAGGGCTCACTTCCTGCGGACGGGAAGCAAAACACACCCATGGGGCGGACGGGACGGCTTCAGGTCTGTCCGGATCCCTGGGAAACCAAAGCCCAAAGTCAAGTGCCTTATCTTTTGGGAAAGCAAAAGCCCCCGCCCAGGGCCTGAAAGTTAGTCTTCGGGGACAGTAGCTGCATTATTCTGGGTTGGGGACAAAGGCTGACTTCTCCTTCTTTCCCTTCCAGCACCGTTGATGAGTACTCTCCACAGAGGAAGGTAAGGCAGCCCCTCTGGCCTGAGATGGGGTGATTCAGCTCAGAGACAGGGACCTGGGCTGCAGCTTACTCACACTCACCTACGCCACCTCCCGGGGCTCCTGCCGGCTCAGGGGCAGCCCTGGGCCCTGGACTTGCTCTCAGGGTTTTTTTGTTGGTTTGTTTTTGGTGGGGCATTTTGAAGTCTCGGAGTTTCCCCAGTGTCCCCAGAGTGATGCAAATCTGAATGTCAAACACGGAAGAAGAAAAATATTCCAGGCAAGAATCTTGACAAGAGTAAAAATAGCCTCGGAAGAAAATGTTTCGCACTTTCCACCTAGAAAGAGGGATGCTAGTAAGAATGATGTGTTTCCTGTTCAACTTGAGGGAGAGGATGGAAATTGAGTGTCAGGCACACGTTTTGTAGAAGCAGATAAGGTACCTGTTTTCCTCAGGAAAGTCATTGTCGTACTGCAGAGTCCGAGGCTGTCCCAAGGCTGCTGTATCCCAAAGCAGGGTGGACACTGGGATTCTCAGAAGGATCTGGGGGTGTCTGTCGTTACCAGATACTCTGCAGCTGGTGGCAGGGAGTAATCGTAGGGACTCTTTGCTCTGCTGGCCTTGGCGGAGGTCTGTCGTGTTGCCCAGACTGTCCACCTCCACATGTGTTAGCTGAGGCAACTCCCGGCTTATTCCTCTTGGATTGGGGGGATGGATTTCATTTTTAAAAAAAGAAGTTGGCTAGCTCTTTTGGAACATGTTGTAACAGCTGTGGCTTTCCAAAGGGCAGGAATGCATTCATTCATTGTTCTCGCTCTCCCTTCTCACAGAATAAGGCCCTTTTCCACCAATTCAGTCTTAAGGAGAACTGGCTCCAGCACCGAGGCGCTGTGACTGAAACAGAGGAAAGTGAGTACGGTCTGGGGGTAGGTGGGGCTGCTGTCCATCACCATCGCTCTACAGCTTGGACACTCCAGCTGTCACACCCTGTAACCAGCACATTGGCATCAAAAAATGGTGGCTTTTCTTTTCTTGCTTTGGGTGTTACCCTTTTTTTTAGTCATGTGATAGTGTCCCCCAGGACCAAGGAAATTTTTTTTAGGTATGTTTTTATTGATTTCAGCAATGGGAGAGAGAAAGAGACAAGTCAGTGATGAGAGAGAATCATGTATCAGCTGTCTCCTGCATGCCCCTTACTGGGAATAGAGCTTGCAACCTGGGCATGTGCACTGACCAGGAATCTAACCATGATCTGGTTCCTGGGTCAATGCTCAACCACTGAACCACACTGGCCAGGCTCAAGGACACTTGTAATTTGGGAGCTATGGAAAGGAGCCTGCAGAGGGTTTCCTGAGTTCTTGGGAAAAGGTGCAGAATTGCCAGGAAATGCAGCCTTCCTCTTTGTCCCTCCTCGACTCTGCCAGCCCCTGGCCTGTGACTAGCTGGAAAGGCCACCGAAGTGCACGTGCAGGGCACGTTTAGGAAAGAAATCTCAGGGATGCCGAAACCGGTTTGGCTCAGTGGATAGAGCGTCAGCCTTCGGACTCAAAGGTTCCAGGTTTGATTCTGATCAAGGGCATGTATCTTAGTTGCGGGCACATCCCAGTAGGGGGCTTGCAAGAGGCAACTGATCAATGACTCTCATTGATATTTCTAACTCTTTATCTCTCTGCCTGCCTCTCTGTAAAAAATTAATAAATATATTTAAAAAAAAAGAAAGAAAGAAAGAAAGAAATCTCAGGGAGAATAATGAAGGATATGCAACCAAAATCCCTGCAAGACATGGCGGTGCTGAGCAGTGCCCCACACCCAGCATGTCCTCATTCTGTGCCTATCAGTGCCCACAGGGCTCGGGACCCACTGGTCAGCACGAGGGGAAACAGCTCCCTGAAGATGCTGAGTGCTTTTCTATGGTAACATTCTGTAACGGAACAGAAGATGGTTTCCTCCTGTTTGGATAAGGGCTGAGTCAAGTGCAGAGCCGGGAAACACAGTAATTAAAATGTTCACTCGAGGTGACTCAGACCTTCTCTCTTCACCGGCCTCTCCATAAGCACTGCAGTTGTGAGAGCGTTTGCACCTGCTCAGCCTCCTGGACACTTAACGCAGTGTCACAAGAATACGTCTTCTGTTGTGCTATTTGTACCTCCTGCTGCTCGCAAGGGTGCCGTTGTGTCATCAGAAGTGGGCGAGCAAACAAAATGATCTCACCTCTCATGCCTTGCTGGCCCGCCTTCCTTGCCTGTCAGTCTCACTATTTAATAGTACCATTTTCCAAGCTGAGTATTCCAAGTCCCTGGCCTCTTTCTGTCCATCAGTTCGTTAAGCAAGCTGTGAATTACATCATGTTTGGTGGCTTGTGGATGGGATCTTTGCCTTGCTCAAAAATTCCATGTTCCTATGCAAGGAAAAAAGCCTTTTTGTCCCTCAGGAGTCTGTTGACAACATGTCAAACGATGATTTGTTAGATGCTATTGTCTCAGTGACACACCCAGTGAAGCCAAACACTGAATACTGTCAGTGCCTCCTGGTGGCATGTTCACGTTGAGGTTGGCACACGTAAACTCAGTTTGTCTTCAGTTTACTTGCATTTCTGTGCAAACATTCCTGGGGTTATGGTGTGGTGCCGTTTAAATTTCATATGAAATTTCTCCAGCAGCTGCACTCCTTTAAAAAAAACACACACACACACACAAAAAACACACACATTGTATTCTAGGAGAGAAAAATGTCTCAGTATATCATCATCCTTATGTCTTTTCCGAAGAAGAGGAAAAAGTGGAAAGATTGTAAAGTTGCCTGGAAACAGCCTTTGGGCATTATTGTTTCCTTGATCACATAATAGTATTGCCAGGACACCGCTGTTCAAAATAGCTGATATAATAAGCAAATAATGTGTCAATGATCTCGACTGCTATTAAAGCAGTTTCTGCTACCAAATCATAAAGCGTTTCTCCAGGACCCGTTCACCCAGCTGGTGATAATGTCCTAGTAATAATTAGCCCTGCAGAAACTAAAAAGGAAATTAAAATGGCTAGAAATGTGACCACTCGTTGGAAACTAAAAACTCACCACCACTGAACAGCATGGATGGACCTGGAAGTTACTGTGCTAAGTGAAATAAGCACGTCAGACAAAGACAAATGCCATATGCTCTCACTATATGTGGACTCTAATGAACAAAATAAACTGACGAAATAGAAACAGAGGCATGGATGCATGGAACAGACAGGTAGATGTCAGAGGAGAGGGGGAGGGCTGGATGAAAGAAGGCGAAGGGATTATCCTTAGAACATGTATGCATAACCCATAGACAAACACCACAGTGTGGTGACGGCCAGAAGGAAGAGAAGGCAGAGGCTGGGTGCTGGGTGGAGGTGGGCCATGGGAGCGGGGAGTGTGGGGCCATCTATAATAATGTCATCAGTAAAGATAAAGTTAAAAAATTAAGAATTAAGTAAAAGGCTGTACATAAAAACCATGGTAAGTGGCAGATTTTTAGATAAGCTTAAGAGAATTCTAATAACAAAATGTGGTGGTGGTCTTGATTGGGTCACGGTGACTGTCCGGAAATGGAGGTTAAGGTAAAACTGTACGCTAGACATTGCAGCAGACTGCTTTGGGCTGTCTCAGTAACCCTCACAAAAGGAACTCAAAAGTACAGGTTCCACAGACTCCACTGTGTTGGGTCGACCATTCCACTGTGAGCACATACCTGCGTCTCTCATGACCGTGTGGGCAGCCTGACTCCTACTCAGACTCGCTCACTAGCACATAAAGTCTACATGTCGTGTGTGTGCAAGCACACATGTGTGGGCCTATGCCCTCCGGTGCCCATGTGCCTGCACATGGGAAGTAGGAACATCTGACTGTGGATGTTTCATACTAGTGAGATGAAGAAGGTGGGAACCTTGATTTAGAAAAGTCTGTGACTCAGAGCCACGGCCCTCGGTTTGCTAACCATGCTTCTGTCCTGTGCAGTTTTTTGCCATGTGTACATCACGGAGCACTCGTACGTCAGCGTGAAGGCGAAAGTTTCCAGTACGGCTCAGGAGGTCCTAAGAGTCGTGGCGGAGAAGATCCAGCACGCGGAAGAGGACCTGGCCCTGGTGGCCGTCTCCTTCTCTGGGGGTGAGCACTCTTCTGTCCCAGAACACTAACCTTTCGCAGGGTCTCCTTCGGGGGGGGGGGGGGGTGTTGACATTTGTTCAGAGTCAACGCAGGTGCGGCGTTTCCCCTGGAGGTTCGCAGCTGGCCGGCCACAGGGACCATGAGGCGTTTCCATGATGACAGCTGGGTACCGTGGGATGCTGAGCATCCTCCCTGAGAGCTGCATAGAGAGGCATACCCATGCTCTGAAATACATTGTAAAGCTCCTCATATTTTGTGCTCTAGATAAGCCCTCTGTTTTCCTATTTAAATTAACGTGGGAAATTGCTAAAGGATAAAATTACTTCAGGAAGAGGGAAGAAGAAGCACAGCCTTGAGCGAGTCATATTGCTGGCTGACAATTTAGTCCTTACAGACTCCCCGCGGCAGGAAATAAAGCCTGCACCACAAGCACGATGCTCACAGCCCATGTTCCCGCAGGTGGACCCGGGGAGGGAGGCCTGCTTATAGCTTTGTCTCCCCTCGGGCCTCATTTATCCTCAGAGGATGGTTTCTTGTCTGTTTTGAATAAGATCACACAGATTACACGCTGACACTATTGATCTCTGTGACCTGAGCAGACCGTTCGTCTCACCAGAGCCTGCGAGGCTGCGGCACGCTGGCCTCCTTTCTTGGCTTACAGTTTTTATTGAATATCTCATTAACCCTGAGAAAAACACAAAGGAAGTGACTTAGCATTGAAAAATGGGAGGAGGTGAGCGGGTGGGTGGGGGAGGGGAGAGATGACCGCATTGCTCCTCGCCCGCCCTTTGTTAGCATTCTACAGTCAGGAGAAGAATGTCAGGATTTACCCCGAAGTAAATAGCATTATGGGGCCAAACACTGCTTCTCTTGCTTTGTCACTCAGGAGCCCGGTAAAACCGTCCCCCCTGCAGGCTAGTAGATTGCAATGCGGACAGATCCAACCTCATCAGTGAAGGGAGCCTCCCCCCTCTCTGAGGGTGGTTGAAGTTTTAATAAAATATTTCAGACATTCCAGGTAGATACGACAAATGATTGTTGTATTTACTTTTAAGTGACCAAATTATTAAATGATCCTAAACAATATTAAGTTTCATCAAAACCAACATTTGCCTCTCAAGACAGTACGGCTACAAAAAGTGCTGGAGGAGAAAGGATCTGAGTGAACTTGGGGGTAGGGGGGAGGGGAGGGGGCAGAGAGTCACGTGGGACCCAACAGGGCCACGTGGGAACCTGGAAATTAATGAGCAGCTCTTTTACTACCCAGTTTCTATCTGATGGCCATGAAATACAATTTTTACACTCTATTAAATCGGATTCATCAGGGTGGGCAGTGGCGTTTTAATGTGCGTAGACTCATTGCCAATCATCACTAGACATATCAGCTTATCTCTTGAATTATCCCACCAGTTTGGAAAAGTGCCATCAGTTTCCATCAATCAGCAGTTTTGTCCGTTAAGAACCTTTCTGCCTGCAGCTTAATATCCCCTGAACAATCATGAAGAAGAGGAAGAAAATAGGGCTTAATGTATTCCTTGTTCCAATTACACAATTTTCAATAAATAATGTTTCAAATGCTACTGCAAAATAAAACGACAGTGAGATCGAATGTTATTTTATTGTTGTCAAAAAACAATTTTAGAGATGTTGGCCTTTTGTAGGTTTCATGGGTTTTCCTAAAAGGACTGGTGGCTGTTATCCTTCTAGCTTTCGGTAGGTTTTGTGCTATTTTGTACTGAGGGTAGGTAGATGTAGGTAATAACTACAATATCTACCCGGATATCTGAGCTTAAAATGTTTTCAGCTTTAATCTTTTATAGTCTGGTGACAAACCTGAAAAGAAGGGGAGGGAGGATTTCTGAGCACCTGGAAAAATTACTGTCAGAATGGCTCTCATAAATTCAGGCTGAAGGTACATCTGGGCACACAGAGGGTTGCAAGAAATTGTAGCCAAACAAAGAGGGAGGAGATGGAAGAACCTCTGAGCCCAGCCTTGTGGGACCATTTACTACACACGTCAACAGCCCGACATGACAGTGCTATTGATCTTTATAATGTGGGGCCGTAAAGAATGTATTAGATTATCATTCGTGTGCTCTGTATTAAGCAGAACTGTTCCAAACAAAATTTGGCATTTACGCTGATTAGGTTACCTAGAAAAAAAGGTGGAATATCGCATTTCCCAGCCAGGTTAGGTATCTGAAGGGCTGCTTTGGGGAGTAGGGGGGGAGCGGGAGCTGATTGTATTACAGTGGAATAAACTCAAGTATTCCTGTGGTTGCTCCCCACCTGCGTCTTGTAGTTAGGAGGAGGACATTTCTCTATTGTACAGGAGAGCTCCTGCGATGGCAAAGAAAGGGTCAGAGGACAGGGACAATTTGCAAGAAGGAAAATAAAATGGAAGGAGATTATATGAAAAATTCCAGCTGCACTGGAAGTCAAGAAATACACAATAAACTGCAAATCTGTTTATGGTTTCAGAAAAGAAAAAAAAAGAAAAAAGCAAACTTACCAAAAGTAATGATCAGTGTTGGTAAGTGTAAGCATTAGAAAACAATTTGACCGTTTGCATCAAAAATTTCAAAAATATTCATTCCCTTTGGCCCACTAATTCCACTACTGGGAAGCTATCTTGAGAAAATCATCTATAAGCAGCCAAAGATTTATGCACAAGGATGTTGACTTCAGCAGTATATATTATGGCTGTGGTAATAATAGATCCCATTTATCAAGGCCCTTGCTATATCCCAAGCCCTGTGCTAGGATTTAGCATACATCTTGCCATCTAATTTATATGACAAAAAAAAATTAGAAAACCTGAAATGTTCAACAAAAGCAGGAAAAGTAAATGATAGTATAATAGACTGTTATGGAACCAATTAAATATGACATATATAAATAATTTTGACAAATGGGTAAGTGCTTATAATAAAATCAGAATATGAAACTACATAATCAAAAATATATGTATTCATAATAAATATGTATGTATATGTACAAATAATGGCCACTATATGTGTGTGTATGAATACACATGCACACACACACACACACACACACACACACACATCAAAATCAGAACAAAAATATGCCTAGATGTTAACCAATATTCTCATCAAATGGTTTATCTGAGTGCTGGAGTTATGAGTGAATTGTACTTTCTCCCCTAAAAGGTTCTGTGTTCCAAAGAATGACTAGATATTGTAATAGACTCACAAGGGGATTCCTTCATGTCTAGTGAGCAGTGATGGCCCTGCTCTCACTGGTATCCTTGGTGTCATTATAGAGGCTACGCAGAACTCAGTTCTGTGTACTTTGTATCCTATTTACTTTAAAACATTTTTCTTTGGTGTGTTTCACTCTTCAGATGCACCTTGTATGCCTACTGCTGTTTGCGTGTTTCTAATTCCTCTTTTTTTTTCTTTTTTTTTTAAATAAAGGAAAGCGTGAACTTCATCCCAATGATCTAGCCATCTCCAAATCCCTGGAAGCATCTGGTCGGATATATGTCTATCGGAAAAACCTGGCTGACACTTTGGTGAGGACCTTTAGCCTTGCACTTGAAACACACAGACACAGATGTCAAACTGAAAACATACTTGTGTCTGTTTTATAATGAATGTCAGAAAAATGCATTGAATTGTTTCCTCTTCTAGCCAACAATACGCGTGTCGCGTAGCATTGCCTTTGCAAATCGAAGTCACACAACATGAGGAATTCTAAACCCTTCCCGAGTCAAATCCTCCTCCTCTCTGAGCCCCTGCAACAAGGGATTTGAGAGAAGTGACTTTTTCACCAATGGATCTTAAATCCACGTCTTCTTTTCTGGTAGACTCGTGGAGAGTAGGCCAAGAGATGCATCCTGCGAGGATTTAAGGGAGAGATGCCACCCTTGGTTTGCATCCATTTGATGCCCCTGGAGTGCACCCCTTTTCTTGAAGAAGAAATGTCATCCATCCCCGTGCAAAATGGTCTCATAACAGTTGGGCCTCAGATGCCGCTGAAGAGTGAGCGGTTAGGGAAATGTAGACACCATACTATAAGTTGTTTCAGTTCAAATGTGAGGACACTGACACCTAAGTAGATGATTTGCTTATTTCTAAAGACCTGTTTTTGCTTCTCTCTCTAAGGGAGGGCTCATCGCCCACAAGAAGCCCGTTTTACCAGGTTGTGACTATACCCTCTTAATTCCTGGTCCCCAGACTGTGTCATGGAGTCACCCCTGGGCTAGGGCTGCCTAGCTGGCTCCTGGTGTACATATAATTGAGGAATGTATATACCATATAGATAAACCAGACTGGCTTACAATAACACAACTTTTATGCTAAATTACCTACAGGGTATCAAGCTACCATACTATTAGTCATTGTCATTTTGGGTACTTATTACCAGACACGTAGGTGCTGAGATATATTGTATATATCTCATTTATACACTAAATGGAGTTGGGAGAGGCCGAGTAGCTTACTCTGGCTTCCCACACTCCGGGAGGGGATGGTGCTAGGATCTTTTCCATTTATATTCGCCTCTAACTTGGGCCCTTTCCAGTTCTGAGTGTCCCACAGGTCACCAGTCCTGTGTCTGCAAACAATGTAATTCCATCAGTGACACAGGACACACCGATGCTATAAGGTAGGGGTGTCGAACGCAATCAGAGAAGGGGCCAAAATCTAAAATCCAGCCTAAATCGCAGGCCGAATGGTTTACTGAACAGTCATAAACTGTCATTGTGATGGAAACGCAGCGGAGTGCAGTGATGACAGCGCGGTGTGGGCCACATTGCAAGGCCTGGCGGGACGGATTTGGCCCGCGGGCCTTGTGTTTGACACATGTGCTATAAGGCATCTCTGAGTAAATAATGAGATTGAGTTGACTTTCCCCTCCCCATGAAGGAGGGCAATCTCCTGGGTGGCTTTCTGGGCTCCAGGAGGTGGTGGTGGAGGGAAACTGCATCCCCAGAGCGCTCATTCCACCGTCCAGGGCCAGCTTCAGAAGAGGAGAAGGCAGGCCCGAGTCATGGTCCCCATGGATGCTGCAAAGTGCATGCCAAGATGAGCCAGACACCATCCTGCCCTCGAATGTTCCCCTCACCAACTTTACACAACACCGAACATGTCCCCATTAGAATCATAGCTGTAGGTATTTTAGCTCCAAAATATTTCAGTTGACAGGGGACATTGTAACGGGTAAAAAGCACATGAAACCACCAGTATCCACTATGCTTGCCTGTAGATAATATTTTTGGAAAGCAAGCCTGGAGCTCTGGATGAATGGGATGGAGAAATACATAGAAAGCATTTCTCCGAGAGGGTAGTGGACAACCTTGAATAAACCATAAGGCAGTGCCAAGGTAAGGGCTGTATTTAGGGAGAAAGTAGGAGAGACCATGTGAAAATATCCTTATGTCGCCAGCTCAGTGAGCTGAGATTACTGCTATTCCCAACCCATGGCTCTCCCTCCGAATGTGTGCGGTGCAGCCTGGTGTCCGTCTGGTCCCATCAGACAATCCCTGAGAAGCCGTGGCTTGTCCCCGCCCCGGCGCCTCCGTATCTGCATGTGCATCCTGGCTGACCGCCCGGGCGGAGCTCCCCTCTGCCTCCCACTCTGGGGACACGGGGACAATTTGTATCTTAACCTGTTCCGAGCAGAAGCAAGTCTGTGGAAAAGTTCTGTGAAGGCCCTCTGCCATTTCTTTGTTTAATTATAAGATCATAAATGTAAGAATTCTAAAATGAAAATCGTTTATTTTGCAGTTTAGAAACAGAGGTTAATATCTGGAATCTGAGCAATGCCCTCCATCCTGCAATGTCGTGTAGTTCGCAAAGTCCCATTCTTTCTCTTCCAAGTCAGTAACTAGGATTTCATTAACTGTTCAAGTCCGCCCCTCAGATGGGAGAGTTTCTATTTTAATTTAAAAAATCAAATATTTTGAAAAGAGGCCGAATACTTTTTAATACATTTAACAGTGACAGTAGATTTAAAGTTGTGGTGACACTTAATGATTTCATGCCATATTTTAAAGAAGTACTGACACTTAAAATAAATCACCCACTATACGGTATAAATGAAATCACTTTTATTTTATATTTCGTGTTTAAATTTTGTTCGCTTTCCACAAACGCTGCAACACAATTTGTGAACATGTGTCTTACTAAGCACGCTTCCTGCAGAAGCCGTGTCTGTCTTTATTGAAGTGCGCTGTGACATTTCCTCTGTTTGTTTTTATACTCACCCTGCTGGCATATTAATTCCCACCAGAAGCACACGTGGCCTCGGAGCTTTTGCTTTCATTATGCTGTCTGCCCGGCAGTGCTTTATAATCAGATTTGTGTGGGCACGCGTGGGGGAGGGAGGGGGCCAGCTACCTCATTGATCACATTCTCCCGTTTGCAAGGCTGTTTTCTAAATTGGCTGTAACTCACTGAAGGTGAACAGACCGGGGGGAATATGTAATGCCCTCAGACAAGATTGCTTTTCTAATCTGGGCTTTAGTGCCTTCCCGGGGCAGCCAATGCGGTGTCGCCCATTGAGGCCACTGAGGATCCTTCTGCTTCTGTTTGTTTAGAACCCTTTTGCCGAAAACGAGGAGTCCCAGCAAAGGCCGTTGAGGATCTTGGGAATGAACACTTGGGATCTTGCTCTGGAATTAATGAATTTTGATTGGAGTCTCTTCAATTCGATTCACGAGGTAAGGAAGGGGAGAAAAGATCAAATAAATGCTAGTTCTCTTTTAACTGTGAATTCTTTTTGAACAATATCTATGCATGTGATTAGGTGTTTAAAAGATCCATTATCTAGTGATAACGTTATGCTAGAATATCGTGATCCAAAAAGATATTTGATATTTGATCCAGTCTGAGGAACATCAAAATACTTGGTCATGCTTTCTTTGCTCCTGGTACAATCATATGTTTGTAGAATATAATTTAAACATGTCACAATTTTACTAGTATATGTATGAATAGATATGTAAATATGTATATTATGTGTGTGTGTGTATATATATATATATATATATAGAGAGAGAGAGAGAGAGAGAGAGAGAGAGAGCGCGCTCTAATGGAGCTGAAGAGCTATTTTGTCTTTGATGCCTTTGATATTGATATTTTAATTTCCCCCAAAAAGCTTATAAAAGATATACAAAAAACATATGAATATTGTGTGTGTATATGTACACACACATACTTTCACATAGGAACATTCTATAAATTTAGACTATTCAGCAATATGTCAAGTACTTTCTTGAAATTTTTGAGGTATATTTCACACTTTTACGTCCATCAACTTCTCCCTGGAGGACAGCTTATAATATTTGTAAAGCAACAGGTTATGGGCAAATGCTACTGATAATGAACAAATGAGCAGAGCTCGTGGGGCGCTCATGGGCATCTGAAAGCCGGCAGCGAGAAGCTCTGGGCGGCCACATGCTGCCCTTGCTTTGCCTGTGGTGGCATTTTCACTGGGAGGCGGCCCTTCCTCCCGCAGGAGGGACTCGGGCCCAGCGTGCTCCCTGCGCTCGCTTTCAGCTGGGAATTACTTCCCTGTGTCCTCATGTCTGCTTGTTACGTTTCCAACACGATGATCTGAATTTGAGCAAGTGGTGAAGTCATTCCCGCTCAATGACATGTCGCGTTGGAAATGTGAGCAGAACAGGTTGCGTCCTGCATGGGCAGAGGGAGAATGTGAACGACTTCCGAAGAGTACACACACCTCCTCCGCTTAGAAACAAGCATCTTCTTCTGCCCTATGTGGGAACAATCCACATATATAGTAAATAGTTACTGGTCTTACTTTTTCATTCTGGACCTTGCTCTTCCTATTTACTATCTGACACTGTCTTGGGTCTGTGGCTCTCAAAGCCTGGGCATCCAGACCAGCATCATCAACGCCGCCTGGAAACTCATTAGCAACGGGCACTTTTGTCCCTACCACAGACCTACTGAATCAGGGGCTGGTTGGGGGAAGGGAGGTGATCCTGATTCACACTAAACCCTTGGAGAACCCTTGCCTAGAGACTCTACCTGTGAGGGTCTAAGTGCATCTTAACAAGTACTATAATCATATTTCATTTACGCTTGAATTGGCCAGCGTAACAAGTTTAGGAAGTGTGGATTCCATTCAGCCTGTGATTTAAACATTGAATGTCTTAGATTTCCATAGAAAGGCACCGTTCTCACATCCTAAAGGAACACATTTATATAAGGAGCCTAAGTGAGCATTTTTGAATGAGGCATCCCTAAAACTAAAGGGAAGTTGTTTCAAATTGAATATATTGCCGCCGAGCCTGATATGAGGATGGCTACCACCAGAAAGAGGTTTTAAAGATGAACTGAATTTTGAATCAACCAGACTGTGCACTGAAAATAAACACTGGCCATGACTACCTTTTCTTTCAGCAAGAGCTGATCTACTTCACATTCAGCAGACAAGGCAGTGGGGAGCACACCGCGAACCTCAGCCTCCTGCTCCAGCGCTGCAATGAGGTCCAGCTCTGGGTGGCCACGGAGATTCTGCTCTGCAGCCAGCTGGGCAAGCGGGTGCAGCTGGTGAAGAAGTTCATCAAGATCGCCGCCCAGTGAGTTCCTTGTGATGAAACCTGCAATTCCGCTCCTCTCCTCGCCAGAGGACCGTTTGTTTCCCTTGTGGTGATAGGAAGGGTGGATGTAAACGTGTCACGTGGGGTGAGATGACCGGATGATTGGAAAGGTCTCTTCATGAATATTTATGACTCTTCGTTTGAAGTCTTTCTATTTTAAAGTAAATATCAAAATCCCAGGCAGAGGCCCTCTGCTCTGTGCTACAGAGCTAATAAGCAGGCCGTGCACACATACCCATTCTGCAGCCAAATTGCCATGCGGCCAGGGAGCTACAGCAGCTAGGACAACGGGGGAGGTGATGGGGCAGGGTAATAATCACTGAGAATCAGCTGTTTCCGAGAATTCTGCTCTCGACTCCCTATTGCCCACAGTGTGAACCTTACAAATTCCTTGCAGGCGTACGCTGGCTGGTCCCTCCTGGCCTCTGAGCCTCACCCCAGGCTGGGGGCACGCCATGCTGCAGCCGCTCTGAATGGCTGCCCTTTCCCAGGCACACTGTCCTCCAAGCATGGACACGTGCTGCGTCTGCTAAGGGCCCTTTCCACCTACTCTTGAAGTTGCAGGGCAAGTGTTGCTTTCTTCATGAAGACATCACTGAGTTTCAAATGGAAGGTCAACTACTCCCTACTGAGACCCCATCCCCTCCCCCCACACACACACTCTTGCTGTGTTTCCTTTTTATTTTATTTATTTATTTATTTACTTATATCTTTTTATTGATTTTTCACAGAGAGGAAGGGAGAGGGATAGAGAGTTAGAAACATCAATGAGAGAGATACATCGACCAGCTGCCTCATGCACACCCCCTACCAAGGATGTGCCCGCAACCAATGTACATGTCCTTGACCGGAATCGAACCTGGAACCTTTCAGTTCACAGACAATGCTCTATCCACTTAGCCAAACCGGTTTCTGCTGTGTTTCCTTTTTAAAAATGCCTTTATTTTGTTGATTGAACTTACCAGTTTATTACAATATATGGGGCTCCTTCCCGCTGGATGAGGCTGCAGAGGGCAGGGACCAGTTCTAAGCAGTCATTGTACTGGGAGCCTGGAACAGGACTCAGTGAATAACAGAGACTCCGTAAATGTTGGTGGAATGACATTTTCGTAACTTGCTGGGAGCATCTCTGAATATACCAGATCCGTGAACTGAGACCGCTCTTGGGACAGCTTCCCAACCGAAGCAGGAGGCAGGAACCGAAATCTTTCCCGTTCCTTCTACCTCCCAGCCTTCCCACTTTATTTCTCCTCTGTCTTCCAGAACAGTTTTTGTATCAGTGTTCTGAGTACCTGCCAGACCAACATTCAGGAAATACTTACCGATCACTTAGTATAGGTGCAGATCCACTGTGGGCAACTCAGACCAAGCTGACACCCCATTCCAGCCTTCGGGATTTTGCAGTCTGACTTTGGAAGTTTGCAGTCTGCGAGGGGGTCGCGGGGGGCGGGGGCGCGGCGAGCAGGGGCGGCGCTTTTATAACACAAGTGGCCAGCGTGCAGATTAGAACGGGGACATGCCATAATATGAGATTACATTCTGGGGGCTTTAGAGGAGGGGGCGCTCACATACCGCCAAGGTGGGGAAGGTGGGTTTGGAACACGTGTGAGGCCATGTTTGAATTCCGGGTAGAATTGGACAGGTGTCCATTCCCTGGAGGCAGAGCACCGGGGGTCAGGGAAAGTACCCTGACCCAGGGGCACCCTCGCGGAGGGTGTTTGAAAGGAAGATGTGGGAGATTCATCTGCAAAGGAAGATGGGACCAATCCATAAAGGACTTTGAATTTCAGGTGGAAGAGTTTGCACTGCCTGGAGGAGGCAGTAGGAGGTCACTGAAAATGTTTGTGCAGGAAGCGGATGCTCAGGGTGGTGCCCTAGGGAAGGCTGGTCTGAGAGTGGATGTAGATTGAACCATAGGGAGAATAACCCAGAAGCAGGGCGTTCCATTTAATCTGCGAGGGACAGTGGGAGTGCCTGCCTGGGTTGGTGTGCCTGGAAGGGAAGGAGAGAGAGTAACAGAGAAGCCTAAATCTGGGGCTGCTCTTATGTTAAATACTCCCCCCCCCCCTTTTTTTTTTTTTAATTTGGCCTGTACATTCCATAACAACCTATGAAATACCTAACGGTGAGGCTCTTTAGAATTAAAAAAAAAAAAAAAAAAAAAAAAAAAAAAAAAAAAAAAAAAAAAAAAAAAAAAAAAAAAAAAAAAAAAAAAACCTCTTAAAAATGCCAGCTACTTGGAGAAATGGGAGATTAATGTTCCAAAGAGTAAAATGACACCACACAGCTCTCTTCTTAGTGTAAGATTATATGGATCCTTAGGGAAATGAAATCTATTCACATCTTCTCTGCACGGCCCCGTGGTCTTGAATTATTCACGGTCCTGGTCTCTAAGCCTAGCCCATGGACTGGAATGGCAATAGGAACACAAAGTTAAATTCCTTATCATCACAGTAGTAGGGATAGCCAAGGGAAAACAATAATTTCCGTGATCACGAAGTGTTTTCCTTGCCTCCGGCATCCTATTTGCATATTCATGTCTCCCTTCCTTCTCACCATCCCATCCCCCACCTCTGTGGATAGAGTGGATTTTATTCCCTCTCAGAGACAAAGGAGTTTTGCCAAACTGGCATGTTTAGTGTCAGGCGGTCTGTTCTTATCATGGAATGAATGAACCTCAATCACAGAGGAGTCTGGACTGGAATGGTATCTAACATGTGTACTGCCTCAATTTGTCTTCTAGAGAAATCATGTCTGTTTTCATTCCTTTTTCCTTTTCACAGAGTCAGATGTTAGTTATAAGTGCCTTTTTATTGTAAGTATGAGTGAAAAAGAGATCTGGGCCAAGAAAATTATTTATGGAGGACTAAAAGATAAAAAGATGAGAATTATATCTAAGATCCCACATAGATAAATGATAACTGAATAAAAAGAAGAGTAAACTTTTTTATAATGAACTAGAGGATGGGGTCCCTAGGCCTGGCCTGTGGGGACCAGGCCAAAACCAGCTCTCCGACATCCCTGAGGGGTTCCGGATCTCGAGAGGGCAGTTCTCAGGTGATGCACCCCAGAATTGGGCTCCCTCCTCTCTGGTTCTGGGTGTGTCACCCAAGAACTGCAGCTGCCGAGTCACCACAGCTCAGCAGCTCCCACATTGAACGTCTGCCCCTGGTGGTCATTGCACATCATAGCTACTGGTTGGACAATCTAATGGTCAGATGATCACTTAGACATATATATATATATATTTTTTATATATATATATATATATATATATATTTATATAGATATATATATATATTGATATATATTGATATATATTGATATATATTGATATATATTCCATTTCCCCAAAAAGTTTCAGTTTCAACTCCAGCAAATGCCATCTGAATGGCTTCCTGCCTACCCAGTATTGGGGTGATGGCCAGAAATAGACTGTAATCCAGCCTTCAGGAACCTAATGTCTAGTGGGGAGAGACAACCAGAGGGGCCTCCATGAGGTTGGTAGCAGGAGATCTGGGGTAAGGAGAGCCTCCAGCTGAGGTCTTCTGGCACCAGGATGGGTCGGCTCTCACTGGGCACAGGGTACTTGGAGTCATCACATCCAGAGAGGAAGCCCATTCGGTGCTGTCCATTCGGTTCTGTCCAGCTGGTGTGAAGTGTCCAGGGCTGCGCTGAGATAGAAATGGTGTGAGTCAGTGGCAGAAGGGAAGTAGAGTCACCATACTGTGCCTTTAGACACCAGTGGTTCTCAAGAACAGATGGATTCCTAAATCATAGACCGGGAAGTATCTTGTCTGTTTATTCCTGGAATATACCAAGCAGGGTCACCCAGGAGAAAGCTGGCAGAAACCAGAGGGCGAGTTAAACTGGGTTTCAGATCCTCTTGCCTACCGAGAGGTGGAGACCAGAGCTGGGAATGACGGTGCCCTGGAGATTGGCGGTGGGGCCCACAGGGCTGAGTTCACCCCAGGCATCCTGGACACTGGGTGTGGAGGCAGCAGAGCCTGTCCAGGTTCCACTGTTGATGAATAGCACCTCCGGTGTGGCTCTCAGCTGCACTGGGCAGCACCTGGTCCTGAGGCTGGCCCAGGAGCAGGCAGTTCTGCGGGACCTGCCCCAGTGTAGCCATAACTGTCTATTGCTACTTTAGCAGCTCTGCCATTTTCCTGGTTCAGAACCAGATGCTCTTACACAACCTGAGTGTCTGGAACTGGGTATTGTTTGGGGAGACAGAAGTGTTTAATGTGTGAAGAACTTCTCAAGTCATGATCACTTTTGACCAATTGTGTAATGCATGGAAGTCTAACGTAATAAAAAAAAAATCATCACCGAAACCGGTTTGGCTCAATGGATAGAGCATCGGCTTCGGGACTGAAAGGTCCCGGGTTCGATTCCGGTCAAGGGCATGTACCTTGGTTGCGGGCACATCCCCAGTAGGGGGTGTGCAAGAGGCAGCTGATCGATGACTATCTCTCATCGATATTTCTAATTCTCTATCTCTCTCGCTTCCTCTCTGTACAAAATCAATAAAATATATATTTAAAAAAAATCATCAATATAGTAAAAAATGTTATACATAAAGATACTTATTGTATCATTTTGTATTGCATTGAATTGAATTGATTGAAAATAATTTAAATGTCAACAAGGGAGTGAGTAAGCAAATTATGAAATACTAGAGGCCCAGTGCACAAATTCATGCATGGTGGGGTTCCTCTGCCTGATTGGTGATTGGGGCTGATGAGGCCTGCCAGCTGTGGGGAGCTACCTCAGGAGGTTGACCAGCTGGCCTCAGGAGGTTGGCTATGGAAGCACACTGACTACCTGCAGGCAGCTCCTGCATTGAGCAACTGCCCCTGGTGGCCAGTACATGTCATAGCAACCAGTTGCTTAGGCTTTTATATCAATATATAGAGATGTTTCTGATAAACTTACATAGCCATTAATGGTGGTAGTGAAGAATGCACAATGTATAATTTAACAAAGTATATAACTGAAAGAGTAAGATATGAAGTTACATATGACTGTTCCCAAATTCCACTGAGGCATTGATGATTGATGGAGGTGTCGGGGAGAGATGGCGGCCCAGGGAAACTAGATTAGCAGACACTCAGTATTTTTTCCTGCACCCAGCTTACTGCTTAGCACGTTCATATTTTTCATACTTAATTATCAAGCAAGGATAATTTCTTAATTTTAAAGACTTGCCTCAGAGAAGTTGTTTTCTACTGAGTCCCAGACAACAGAGTGTCTAGAACTCACAGGCTGCTCTGGCTCACCGAACACCCAGCTTCCCTCTGCTGTTCCGGACGCCCTCAGCCGGCTGTGAATGAATATTGGTGGAATTGTGACCAATTAAGTCAAAGGCAAGGTTGATGTCATGCACAACAGATAACCTTGCAGAGTGAATGGAGCCCAGCGTGGTCTCATTTTACATGTTATCTCCTTCTCTCTCTAAATGAGACAGTATCCCCATAATATGGGTCATATTTTACATATATCCAGAATATGGTAGTAATTTTGTAGATAGCAAAGAAAGCATGTCTGAGTGTAATGGGAGGGGCCGCGTAGACCTGTGAAGGGAGAGGGGCTTGCTTATCAAAAAATAGACAGCTTGCTGATGAAAGGTACAGGACTGGAGAGCTGGTATGATGAGGGTGTGGTATATATAGAGAGGACGATGAGTTTAAGAATTTTCAGTTGAAACTGTAAATACATCCAACATCGTGTTTAATAGGAGGAAGTTTTTGAAGTGTCAGAGGTATCTGAGCATAGATCTTCTCCTCAAGGAAAGTAAGGATGGGCTGAACCTTTGAAATGGGTTCATTTCTGAGAGAAACGGTAGCAGGGACACCACCACCACCACCCCCCCACCATGGGGGTGCTCACGCGTGTGGAAGCATGTGGGGGCTATGGAACCGGGTTCAGCCCTGCCCTTGAGGTTGGGGAGTATTTTCTGGCCTCGGGGAGTATTTTCATTGTGTCTTTTTGCGATCACCTGGAGAAAGGATGTTGCCTCACACTGTCTTCTGCTTTCTTTTATGCCACAGCTGCAAAGCCCAGAGGAACCTGAACTCTTTCTTTGCTATCGTGATGGGTCTCAACACGGCTTCTGTCAGCCGCCTGTCGCAAACCTGGGAGGTGAGCTCGGGGGTCCTCACAGAGAGGGGAGTGGGAGGGACAGATAACACTGAATGGGAGATGGGCCCACAAAAAGCCTTTGTTTACGATGCGTAAATTGATTTAAAGGGCTTACATGAAAAATAATGTGTCCAGTTGGTAGGGACTATTTTAATCAAATGGTCTTCAAAACGGTTGTGAGATGTGTATGAAAGCAGTGAGAACTGTAAAAGGACCCCCTGCAGATTGAGTCTTCCTTGGCTCTGCCCTGAGGTGGCGTGGGCACCCCTCCATGGTGATCCTTTCAGACACTCACCTGCAGGCCCCTGTCCAGGAGTCTATTGGCTGCGACACTAACGAATTAAGCGTCTGGACCTCACACTTTCTGGGCACCTGGCAGTGTGTTCACCTGGACAATGTACATCTTTGTAAAATTTGCAAAAGTAAAGCAATTTTGTGTTGATTTTCTTAAAAAGGGCCCACAAAATGCTATATATACGCTTCAGGCTTCCCAAATCCTGGTTCTGCCTCTGTTGCTGTTACATGATGAAGCTGTTTAGGTTCTCAGAGGGAGAGGCCCACCAAAGTTAGCCCAAGCCCTAGCCAGTTTGGCTCAGTGAATAAAGCATCGGCCTACGAACTGAAGGGTCCCAGGTTCGATTCTGGCCACGGGCACATGTCCAGGTTGCGGGCTCGATTCCCAGTGGTGGGAGACATGCAGGAGGCAGCCTATCAATGATTCTCTCTCATCATTGATGTTTATATCTCTCTCTACCTCTTCCTTCCTCTCTGAAATCATTAAATAAATATATTTAAAATAAAAGTTAGCCCACGTTCTCAGACATGGACTTGCAGGGTGTAGGTGGGAAACACTGACGGTGAGGCATCCCTCTTGAGCCAGGTACAGAGGTGGGGTGCAAGTATTCGTCAAAGGTAGAATATGGACTGAAATCCAAATGTTTATGTTTTTAAAAATTACCTGCGTGTGGAATGTCTAACCGGCCCAATTCCAGTCATGTGGCTGTTACGTATTTTAAACTGATTTTCGCCACATTCCCAAGCCATGCCCAGCCACATTGCTGAGTGATGGAAACTGCCAATGAGGAGTCCAGGAGAGCCAGATGAGAAGTTTATGTGCAGACACGGCCCCCGTCAGCACAACGTCATGAACCCTCCCCCGTCACCTCTCAAATAGCTGACCTCTTTGACCTTTTTGTGCTTTGTTTTGTTTTTGTCTTTGTTTTTAGAAAATCCCTGGGAAATTTAAGAAACTTTTCTCTGAACTTGAAAGCTTAACAGTAAGTAGTTGACCCAGAGGGGACTTATCCTCCCAATGAGTTGCCAAGGTCTGATTGTCTTCTAGATCCCAGGGGTGGGGGCTGCACTGGATCGGGGTGGGTAGCTTAGAGACACACACACACACACACACACACACACACATGCGCGTGCGTGCGCAAGCACAAGCACGCTCCCCTGCCCTGAGAATGGAGCTTTGCCTCTTAGGAAGTGAAGCAAGAGCACAGTGAATGCTGCTTCTCCATGGAGTGCAGTACTGGGAATGGCCCTTCGGCATGGTTGTCAGCAGGCAGATTGTTGATAAGGGCCGTTTCCAAGCCTGGGAAGTGCACTGGTATAGATTTAGCATGCAATCAGTGGCTTATGCTGTCTTCTCTTCTCCTCTGTACCATTGCTTAGGTTCAGGCACAAAATGCAGTTTCTTTTCAGAGCACAATAAGACGGTGTTCTCCTGTGCTCGCTGTCTTGTCTGTGCACTACAAGGGCATTTTTCCATGCAGTGTCCCTGACAAAAGATTCCCGGGTTTCCTCATGACAGAAATTATGTGGAGGAAACTGTACTTACAGAACCGATTCAAGGAAAATAATAGGGCCATCAAAAGGTGTCTCTCTTTTGTGGCCACTTCCCATGACTGTAAACCAATAGCGTGGCTTTCATTCATTACCTAGATTTCCAGCCCTAATTTATTTTCCCAGGAACCCTTTGTCCCCTCCGTTCTTAGGGAAGACGTCTCCATATCCAAAACGTGTTCAAATTGCATAGCAACGTGGATTGAGAAGTGTTACTACAGCAGATTGATTTTTCTTTCTCTTTGTGATCCGCTTGGCTGGCAGGACCCTTCCCTGAACCACAAGGCCTACAGAGATACCTTCAAAAAGATGAAGCCGCCCAAGATCCCCTTCATGCCCTTACTGCTCAAAGGTAACGATTTTTCCTCTTCCACTTGTAACTCCATATTCCAGAAATGTATCTTATAACTGTACAGAACAAACAAAAAAGAGGGCTCAGTTTATTGCTTTAAAGTAATTTCCACATTCAGAACTAACAGGGTTTCTCTGTGGTAGCTTTTCAAATGCACTGTTATTTCTGAGATGCCTACAATACGGACTTAAACGTGAGCAGACAGCAGAGCATTTTAGGACTGAGAATTTAGGATTGGGAATTTTTGTGTGTTAACCCTGCTCCTGTGCACTGTTTTTTGTGTGTGTGTGTGTTTGTTTGTTTGTTTGTTTGTTTTTTCTGTGAGTTTATAATCTACTCAATTCCACCCAGACCAGGCTGGCATGCAGGACCCCAGAGGCAGGCAGTCAAGTGCTACGTAGGCAGCCCAGAGCCGCAGCCCACACGTGCTGCCGTGTGGGACACAGGCCGGTCCAGACACACTTGCTCCTTTCCAGGAGCGGGTCTGGTGGGAAAGAACGTGAGCCCTCCAAGTTAGTTCGCAGACTTCTCTGAGGAGCAGCAAATGACACCTCATGGAACATGCTGGTTAAACGTACTGATGAGATCCGAGCGGTGCTTTCACACCAAGGGGATTCATGAAGGGGAAGCTCGTTTTAATCTGGCCTACGCTCCTGACCTTCTGTCTATGTCCTCCTGTGTGCTTTCCATGGGGTGGAGGGGTTCTCTCTTCTTTTATTGATTTGAGAGAAGAGAGAGAAACATTGATATGAGAGAGAAACATTGATCGGTTGCCTCCCGCACACACCCCATCCCAGTATCGAACCCCGAACCTAGGTATGTGCCCTGACTGGGATCAAACCTCTGCCACCTTTTAGTGTATGAGACATGCTCCAGCCAAGGGAGCCACCCGACCAGGGTGGATTTGGCCATTTTTCTTGGCCATATTGTGATTCCTCGAAAGGATTTTATAGAAACCACAGAGCCTCTGCTCTCTGGCTGGGCCAGGTCCCCATGACTGGACCCTTAGATGTGTTTCTGGAAATGAGTTACTTGGAGCTAGAGGGCTGGCTGGCCCAGCCATCTTCCCCTGCCTCCCCTTACTCTCCCTCCCTTTGCACCCCTCCCCCTGAGCCCGCCCCATGGGCGAAGCTGATAGCCCCTCTTCGGCTTCTCTCAGGAATAAGCTGAGCTTGGAGAGTTACTGAGTGGCTATTCACTCTTGCATTTCCTCATTGGGTCTTCATCTGGCATAAAGCAAGCATCTCTATGAAACCATATAGACAATAATCTATTACAGTGGTTAGCAAACTGTGGCTCCTGAGCCACCTGCTGCTCACAAACCAAGGTTTGCTGCTCTGTTGACTAATGAGTTTGCCAACCACTGACCTAGACTTTCAATTCCAATAATTACAGGTTGTTGTTGTTCCTTGTGCTTAAGCCCCTATCCCAGTGGTTGGCAAACTCAATAGTCAATAGAGCGGCAAACTGAGGCTTGCGAGCCGCATGTGGCTCAAGAGCCACAGTTTGCCGACCATTGGGACAATTGAGAGGTGCACAGACACTTCATCCAGCCCGAAAAGAGTCCACTAATGCACATGGATGAAACAAGGAGAGGTTGTAATAGCAAAATAACTTAAAGGGACTTTGGTTTTTCGTATTTATTTCCCTTTAGGATAGGTTTATTCGGGTTTATGATTTTTATTTGCAAATGAGACACATCCAGTGGGAGAGCGGGGTGGCAGGGGGAGGAACACAGACTCATTTAGACACAAATAGGAAAAACAGAATGAGGACAGCTCTTAGGAAGGAATGACTTTAGGAATTAACATTTTTGAAACGTATTTTAAGGTAATGAGAAATTAGCTGGCTGTGCCCCTTTAACTTAATCGGACGTGAGCAGAGCTTTCTGCTGTACCTTGGTGATTTCCCCCCAAACTGCTACTGCAGCCAGGTGTCTCACACCCACAATGAGCTCAGACACAATTTTCTGCTCCACGGAGCTTATAGAGACCTCCTTGTTGGCAGCACAACAAATCCCCCCCTTTTTCTCTACTGAAAAGACATAACGCATTCGCTCTAGTAAATGTAAACACTTTTTTCTTTTTTTTCTTAGAAGTTTTCTTGAATTAAATAAGCACTTATTTTTTCTTCGCATAAATTGTTTGGGATTACAAAAATAAACATCATTAGCAGTCTTTTGTATTTAAAGCTGCCATTTTTGTCTGAAATAATTTCCAAAGGAAAATAGGATGAAAATTTGAAATACGTATATATCATGCCTGAGAATAAGACATTTTGGGGGGAAAAATAAACTACATTAATGGTTAGGCTTTTTTAACTGAAAAATTAAAATTTTGCAGTTATTTTAAAAGTTGCAATAAACTTCTTTAGAAAACACACTCAAACATACACCCACGGCCCCACCTGTGCTCCCTACTTTGGGGTCCTTTTAGATAGAGGAAAGGGACAGGACTGAACTTGTTGGGTGTTAAGAAGGGCTAGGCTTCCCATCTGTCATTCTTCAAGGTACTCAGTACCCAGCAAGCCTGCAGATTATGAAGTAACCACAGAGCCTGAGGCCCCTACCAGCCATCAGCTTTCCTACGTTCCAGCTGAATTTCTTGCCTTTTTTATATACTCCACCCCGCCCCATGGTGTGGAATCTGTTAAGAAAGCAGGAAACCCTACAGCAGTGTTGAGGCTCACGGTCCCAAGCAGCTGAATAGTTTCCAGAAAGTGGTGGTTTGAGATGGTAGTCCCTTCCCACCACTGTCTCTTGGGAGGGCGCCTCTGCTTCATGCAACCACAGGAGACCTGTATTTGAATGTCTCCTGTCGCTTTAAATGCAGTGACGCTCAAGCCAACATAACGTTCGTTCCCTTCCTCTCCCCGTGAGCCTTCATCCTCCGTCCTCAGAGTGTCTCCATCAATGGTGTTTCCTTTCTCCTGGGCGGACACGGCCAGGGACCTTGCCATTTTCAAAGCTGCCTCTTTCCTCAATCATGCCTGGTACACAAGCAGGCACTGACTCAGAGAGCCAGAAATCCACATGAAACACCTAAATCTGGGTCTGAACTTTTCAAATAAAGCAGGTTCTCTACACTTTGCCAAAAATTGTCTTTAAAAAGCATAAATATTAAGATCTTATTATTTCTGGAGATTCTTTTGTTTTCTACTCAATGTTCTGACCTAAAAACATAATGGACCTGTCAGGTCATAGAATAGTATGAAGTCTTCATTTATATGAAGCAGTTGGAGGCAAGCACTTCATTGTCAGTGCAAAATATACACTTGCGTTAATGTTATAATATCTCTCCCCCTCCCCCCCTACACACTCACACACACACATAAATGATACCCTTTCACTTCAAATAATGAACAGATTCAATTTCAAGGTGCCGTGTCAAATGTCTGGGCCAATCCATAATGTTTAAGAAAAATTAATAAGCGATGTTGCGTCTAGACCTCTTCAGCCCTGACTCATGATCCATTCCTAATGGTACATGTATCTTTTTGCTTTTCATTTCCAGATGTGACATTTATTCACGAGGGAAACAAAACATTTTTGGATAATCTCGTCAATTTTGAGAAGCTGGTAAGTAACGTGCATTGTTTCTCCCTTTTCGAGTGTTTGCTTCTCCCTTTTGCACCAAGAAGCCAGTGGGTGCAGCCCTTTTCCTCAGTGAATGTGTGACGATTTCCAGAAGCTATTTGGTGCATGTGGTGCATTGTCAACAAAACGTATTGGGATTAGAACTACGTGACTAGCAAGGTTCTGAAGACCAAATATTAAAAAAAAAAAAAAAAAAAAATCTGTTTTTTAGTGTCCAAAAATGGAACTTCATTAGGTTAGCACCAGCAGTTGAGTGTATGTTATTGAACCCAAAGTAAAACGTAAGAGTCCTGTCTGGGGAGTTCACACTCCTGAGGTTGAGTTTTGCAGCTTGTCTCTCTGTGTCGCAGCATGCACTGCTCTCCTGGGGAGGTGCCCACCTCCCAGCCCTCCCAGCATGGGTGGGAAGGGGGGTGGGAAGGGCCTGTGTGTGAGGGGAAGGACCCCCTCTCATCAGCTGTGGACAGAGAGGGCCACCGTGGAGGGGCAGCTCTGACACACCGCCCTCCCTGCTTACAAGGAGGGTGCCCAGCCAGTGCTGTTCCACTGGGATCCTCCCGAGTTATTCCCAGGACACCGCCGGGGCTTTGTTCTGCACGAGCTCTTCCTGGCCTCGGTGCCAGGCACGCCCCGGGCAGAGGAGGAGCTGCCTGTCAGACCTGAGCGAGTATAAATTAGGAGTGCGCCAACGAGCCCCGGTGGGCGGCAAGAAGGATGGATGTGTCTGACCGATGAACTTTAGTCATGAATCAGATTGTCCTTCGTGGTTGAGAGCGATACCAGTGACCCCTGCCCATAGATCCTGGCCTCTGACTTTTCAGTCAATGGTAATGGATTTGTGTGAACTCTTTCAGGAAATGATCCCCCGGTTCCCTGGGAGGAGGGAGGGGAGGAGGAGGAGGGAGGGGGGAGACGGAGACCATGACCCCAGAACAATGCAAACTGCTGAGTCCACACGAGGTTTGGCGTCTGACCTGTGCCTCCCGAGTGCCCTGCTCTAACTCGCCACACACAGGGTGAGAGGGCACAGGGCCAGCGGACCATGCACCTAGGATCTGAAGGCAGGCGGCAGGCTTCTCGCCACATGTGTAAGCCCTGAGGACCATTCCCCTATGGCTGGTTATTTTTAAAGTGGACATGCCTATAACTCTTCACGTCTCTCTCTGCACTCAGTGCTTTGGAATTAGAGCTCAGTTATTTAGATACTACATATGGTCACACCAGCACAGCTGGGAATGGGCATTTAATGGGTTGGGGTTTTGGTACTTATTCTTTGAAGATGTGTTCTGTGCCACTGTGTAATGTTCTGAAGAGCACAGGGCAGCTGGTTGCATTAAAAGGCGGTAGGCACCAGCATTCGATGTTTGGATTTACTGGAAGGCTTGCAGGAATATCAAACCTTTGGTCGATATTTACTCCAAATCCTGGCCAATGCACCGAGTGAAGAATGCCAGATAAGCTTTGGAGAGCATGTGGGAAGATGCAGGGTGAGGTTTGTCACTCAGGTGGAATTCCCTATAAAGGTCCAGACAGTTTCCTTGGAATATGGGAGAACAATGGCACCCTGTACACAGACGGTTATCCATTGTTAAGGGCTGACGGGTGCTTGACCCTCTCCCGGCGTGAACCAATGGTTTGGTTAAGCTCATTGTGTCATTTCCCCTAAGTGCTTGAGGGAGAGAACAATTCAGTAATGGCACAAAGGGGAGCGTGCCCCTGCCTCTCCTTGTTTCTGACCAGCATCTTGGTCTCCCCTGCTTCCCCCAGCAGCCCTGGGGAAGGCCTTCAATGCCTGCTGATGTCATCCAGGGTTTTGTTTTCATCAGTGCTCAGATGTCATACTAACCATTGGGGTTAAAACCAAGAAAGTCTACCTAGTAGTACATCTACTGTGGTCAGTAATTATTTGTACCCTTAATTCTTTAGGAAAGTTTAAGGAAATAGCATATGTAAGTAATACCTTATTTTCCAGTTTAAATTCTTAAAGAGGACTTTCATTAAGAAGACAGAAGCTATGTTCTATTATATAAGGCCCTAGGACACACAGTGGTTTCCTAGGCCTCGACATAGATGGCATTTAAGATTCAGCACACCTGCTGCTGACCCCCTCCTTACACAGAAAAGACGGGTTGACGTTAGAATTTTCTAGAAGGGCAAATATCTGTGGTCCATAACCTATGTTCTACTCAGATGCCGGGGAATGAAATTGAATTACCCAGGAGAGGCAGTTTTTTAAGGATATTTCTCAGCAAAGGACAGGGTTTCGCTTACGCTGAAGCAGGATCATCTTTCACAATAATGAACCCATAGAAAGTAACTGAATTAGCTTGTGGGGAGCCGATTCCTCATGACGGATATTAGCTTAACCAGCTCGCGGAGAAGTCAGTGCATTATCGTTATCCGGCTGATCCAGGCCAACACATTAGCTCAGGAGACGCGGGAGCACTCGGCGGGCCTAACGAGGTTCCCGCGGCTCCCACGCCACCTCCGCGGCTCTCCGTGCTCCAGCCCAACCCGTGGCATCACGAGGCAACCAACGCTCTCCCCTTCCTCCCATCCACCCCTCCACGAGAAGAGCATCCTCTTTTCCCCACATCGCCCTCTCTGCGCCTTCAGGAAGCCTAACGATGAGGATCAGGGCTCAGGTTCACCGATGGCACAGGATGGACATCGTGTGACGCCGCGGCTGAGCCCCGCGAGGGGCTGCCGGGAACACGGCCCTCCGGGGGGAGGAAACATGACAATACACTCGCAGACGTGAGTCAGGCCCATTTCCGTCACACGTGCCGCGGAGCGGCTGCTCTCATCGCTGTTCCATTCAGTGCTCCGCCGCTTAGCAATGCAGCCGTGAGGACAGTTTAGTGAGGAGGTCACGTTCACACACGACAGGGTCTATAGTTCTGCAGGATCAGCTTCATGTCGGCAGGGTCCCCGGAGGGTTTGCCATGTCTGCACAGTCCCTGGCTGCGGATGCCACCCGGAGGGGTTTGGGGCACCAGGTGGTGATCAGTGCAGATGCTTGGATAACGGGGTGATGGTTGGATTTTGATATGAAACTAATTAGGGAGCCAGGGCGACTTTCCAGAAGAGGAAAGCAGGAAGACAAGAGGGTCTGGAGGTTATTCTGGAACGTGATGGGGGGAACCGGAGCGGAGAGTGGCCTTGCCCTAAAGTCTGTATCTCCTCCAGCGTGGAAACCAAGCTTAGAAGGCTGCTGCAGGGGCACTAATGGGCGGGGGGGCGCCTCGTCCGAAGCAGCCGCGAGCTGGGAAGACTTTTGCCCGGAGACCAGTGAGGACTGGAAAGAAAGACGTGGAAGTAGAACACCGAGGAGTCTGGGAGGGAATCTAATCATACGTTTTTGTGAAGATACGGAGGTTCTAGAAAATGTTTACCTTTCATGAATGCCTCCCTTCCTCTCACCATGCGAGACATGTGAACCTTTGACTCCACAAAAATGCCAGCCTCCCTTCGGCAGGTGGCCTGAGTCAGCGTGCCTGGCAGCCGGTAGGCGCCGACAAGCAGAGCCGGCTGGTGGGACCTGGTGGACCGGAAGCTCCACAACCAATGCCAGAGCCCAAAGCCCATTGCAGTGTACAGAGGACAGGGAGGGGGGGAGACGGGGGGAGGTGGAGAGGAATGCCTCCCGGGTTCACCGGGAGAGCTCAGTGAGGCCTCCTGGGAAAAGGTGAGCGGGGCACCGCCTGGAGGGCAAAGCCTTAGCACATGGGGATAGGTGGGCAGAGGGCCGGACACAGCGGGCGGAGGAGAGCTGCATCTTTGAGTGGTTTTCCTGGGGCTCCATTAGAATTGTGCAACTGGGCCAAAACTGGTTTGGCTCAATGGATAGAGCTTTGGCTTGGGGACTGAAAGGTCCCGGGTTCAATTCCGGTCAAGGGCATGTACCTTGGTTGCGGGCATATCCCCAGTAGGAGGTGTGCAAGAGGCAGCTGATCGATGACTCTCATCAATGTTTCTAACTATCTCTCTCCCTTCCTCTCTGTACAAAATCAATAAAATATATTAAAAAAAAAAAAAAAAGAATTGTGCAACTGGGTGAGGGAGCCCCTGTTTCTACAGACAAGGACTAAATACTCTTCTGAACCCCAAGCTCAGTATTATCAAAGTCCGGCTTCAAGCTACACCTGAGGGTGTGAATACCCATCGATCCCGGCAAGCATGCTACTTGGGCCGCACCCGCAGTGACCTCCCACTGACCTGCCTCCTGCTTGCCTTGCAGCATATGATTGCAGACACCGTCCGAACCCTGAGGCACTGCAGGGCCAACCAGTTTGGTGAGTAATCGCGGTCAGTGTGCAACGTATTCACATGCAGTGGTGTAGACGGGGTTTGTGGTAAAACATGTAAGCAGACCGTGACGTGTAATGTGCATGTTGTCGCACACACTGCCCTCTCTGTGTATCATCTCTGCGTGTTTGGGACGCAGAGGGAGGCAAGACAGGGCAGCGAGATTGTACTGTGGAGAGTGACTTTGGACAGTCAGAAGCTCCCACCCCATCCCAGGAAGTCTTGTTAGTTTGCCCATTGGCACAGAAATGCCAGGGGTTTATCAGGGGCAACCCGTCCCTAACCTCTCTGCCCGGAGCCTTCCTGGAACAGGAATGCCGTTGTGAATGTGCCTAATGCAGCCTCCCGGCGTCTGTCCTCCTCTCCAACAAAAACTTCCTGTCTGGAGCTGCCTTTCCCTGAAAAAGTGTGTTTCTGAGCATTTCTGTAGACCCCCACTGAGGCCAATGTACGTGGGAATACTCGTTCTTTTCTAAATCTTGGGCACAGTTTCCATGAGGTTTCAAAGGTGTTAACACACTGCAGGAAGGAAGGAAATGGACTTGATTGAGTTCACGGAGCTTTCGCCTGGGCAGTGGGGTCCTGTCCCCAGCGTTGGTGACGGTGAATGGAGACATTACTTCTGCGGGCACGGAGCAGAGGAAGCTCAGAGGGTAATCACACGGCCATCACTCACCCGCATCCGCCTGATTTCCTGGCCCATGCCCTTCCCCTTGCCTTCTGCAGATCCAGTAGATATAAAGGGCAAATTAAAAAATAGGATGTTGAATCCAAAAACTATAAATCAATCAAAGGTGTCCCCTAAGTAAAATTTACTTCGTTAAGTAATCCATCCTCATTGTAAGACAGTTTTTCTTTAACAGTACGGGATGTGTGTAAAGTAGAAAATCAAAGTCGCACTTTCTAAGGGTGGGTGAACATTCTTAATTAAGAATCTTTTTTTTCCCCCCGTCTGGGCTAGTCTTGGCTGGCTGTATCACCCCCCAACAAAACAACTGAACATCTGTATGAATTCTTCGAAAGGAAGAATTACGAATGCAAGAGCTCATTTTCTAAATATTCATATCAATACCAGTTGATATGTGCTTATAATTCTCCATTAAGCACACAAGAACAATGTTGTTACAATAGAAACAGCGACAGTGACGTTATCCTGGAGATCCATTCAAGTACACAAGTATAATGTTGCTAACGAGTTCATATTTCTTTCATCCTCCTGTGCTTCCCAAGTATTTATGGGCACTCAGCTAATTCTAAGACTTCGGTCTCATTACTAAGGTTTATATGTGCTGCAAGTGTGGACAGGAAGGCTGGGCTGACCTTGACCCTGTCATCACCAGAGAGTAAGTCTTCTTAGCACAAAGCAAAGGAGAAATTCACTTAACTGTGAGGCCTGTTTGTGTTCTATATTTTTGTATCTTTAAAAATCACATCTGTGACTGAATTGCCTCAGTTCAAGGTGACAGGTTAGATAGGCATGGTAAGCCACTGTCGGAATTTGGGATAAAATAAGATCAACCAAGGCCCCTATAAACTACGGGGTGCCTGCAAGTGTCCTTTGCCATGTATGGAACCATTCGTTCTATCTTCTTCTCTTAAGGCCAGAAATTTAACAACAAATTCATCTTGGTAGCATCGTGTGTTCTACACCCAGTGTTCTGCCACGTTACCTTGGTGTCTCCGGAAACGGCCTCCGGAATGACACAGCCTTTGTTCACTTTCAGACAAGTAGGACGGTAAAAACATCAACTCCTGGTGCTTTTTACCTTTTGAAACCAGAAAGTCTTAGTTCTGTTAAATTTAAGAATGATAAGCCACCCGTGACATACAGGCCTTAAATTACAAAACACATTGTCGTAGAGGAGGGAGAGAAAAAAACAACAGCTGCTTTGAAATGTCAGCCTCCTGAGGCCCCGCCCCTCTGCTCGGACTGAGCGCAGCCTGGGCCCCGCTTCCCCCCCAGAAATCCCGATGCCGGTGACCTCACGCTGCTCGCTCTCGGTCACATTGTCCTCCGCGGTTGGGGTGGGGGTGGATGTGCTCATTTCTGAGTATGGGAAGTGAGCCTGCCCCATTGTTCAGGCCCCCTATCTCTGGTTCCTTATCAGAGCTGCCACCAGCGGGGTACACGTGTGTTCACAGGGCACCGCAGCCGGGCTGCCCCACGGTATTTAACCACCCCGGGGGCCTGGATGGGGAGGGAAACTCCCCTTACCCCCCACCCCGCCTCGCCTCGCCTTCCACGGGGCAGATATTAGCCCAGCCGCATCCTTTAGGAGCCTGCGGTGCCTGTTAGCCATGCCTTATGTTTAGTTCTGTGATATCCGTTCATTTCATGGGTCCCTTCATTTTTCCTCCCCAAAAATAAGGACACCAAAAAGAATTGTGTCTGTGCGCTCGCCGGGTTAGCACAGACTGAGATGAAGAGCCCGTGAGAGCCACTGAGATGGGCATGTCTTGTGACACGGGACCTCAGACCATGGACCCGGAGCCCCGGGGCCCGGGTTCCAGTCCCAGGCGGCACTCACTCGTGTCTGTGCTGCTTCCCCTCGGAGAGGGGTGATAACCCGGCTGCTGGCTGCCTTGTGTTGTTGAGCAATAAACACTGTAGACATGTGCTAAGGCAAACACCTTGCCGGGTCTAGCCACCTGGCTGAGGAACCTGGTCCGAGCTGAGAACGCAGCTGCCCAGCGACTCCTCTGCGAGTCGGACTCACAGAGCCCGCCTGGTAGGTTTACACGGAGCCTTTCCAAGGGGTTTATGGGAGTTAGCCATAACATCACCATGCTCGAGACTAACTGGAGGGTTTTTTTTCCCTCCAAACATTAGGAGGGGACGCGTCTCCGAAAGAGCACCACGAGCTGAAGTCCTACGTCACTCACCTGCTCGTCATCGACAGCCAGCAGGCCCTGTTCGAGCTCTCCCATCGGATCGAGCCCCGGGCCTGAGCCGGCCGCGCCCCCTGAGCACCTGCAGCTCTCCCGCCCGGGATGGCAGTGCCCGGCATGCCCCTCTCCTGGGAGAGGAAACTGCTGAGTTTTATCAGTCACACAGGACTCGCTCAGCCACTGCGGTGGGGGAGGGCCTCGCCCCCCTCCCCACGCCTCCCAGCTCTCACTCTCCGGGCGAGAAGGCAGAAGACTCAGAGCATCTCGGCCCAGGGAAGTCCGGTTCCTTACACGGCTGTGCATCCCCTCCAGTTTTTACCTTGAGATGCACCGGCATCAAGACCGGGGGGCCTATCTTGGTACAGCGGCCGGATATGCCAGCGAGAGCGAGCGTGACTCACACAGGAGCAGCGCTGCTTCCCCGGGGAGCGGTCCCCGGGTCTAGGCTGTCCAGGAAGGGGCTTGTCTGAGCCCCAGAAGGAGACGGCAGGTCCGGCTTTCCGGGGAGGAGGCGTGGTCTCTGTTGCTACGCACTGTGACCTCACCGGAGGCCTCCTGGGTCTGCGGAGTCTGTGCCCCGAGTCCCCCCGGAAGGGAATCGTCAGGGCAGGCCTTGCTCTGCACCCACAATCACTCACGGGTGTCGGCTCGCCAGGGAAATTCGTTTCTGCTCAAGTGATTTGCAACGGTGGACACGTGAGGTTGCGTGGTGGTTTTGCCAATAAGGAAAAGTAGGAATCCTTAGGAGACTGGCTCCTGGGCTGATTTCCTTGACACGTGCAAGCAGGCCCTCCTCCTATTGGGGACAACACGGTTTTTGAAAGAGTGCAGTGCCTGACACATCGCAGGCTCCATAACCGTTTATCAGGTTGACAGTCAGAGGCGCCTGACGGTGCCCTGGTGCTCCGCACGCCGCCGCGGGCTCCTTGCCCACCGCGTGCAGGGGTGGCAGCCGGTCCAGGGAGGTGAGTGGGCACTCCCTCCCTAGGGAAGAGCAAGGGAGGAAGGTGGTGCTGATTGCCCGTCTCACAGCAAACCTCTGGTGTATGCTGGACCCTCACAGTTCACCTAGAGTTCACCTTCCAGCCAAATGTGTTTGTTTTCCTCCCTGAGTCTTTTAAGTGTTTTGTTTTGTTTTGTTTTAATTTCCATTTTTATAGATTAGGGCTCTCTTTTCTAGTAAATAAGACCCTGGCTATTCTCCAGAATACGTTAGCGTCCCCTTGTCCTTCGTAAAAACCTGTGGGATACAGCAATGAAATGCACCCAGCCAGTTTTACTAGTTATACTCACCATGTTGCTAAGACCCCAGGGCACACCGGCTTCCTGTGCCAGATCCACGCACGTTCCAGCCCTGGGAGCCGGTGCCTTTGCGTCCCGCACCTTCCCACCACCTCAGCTCCTCCGTCCGGGGCTGCCTGACCCTCACAGCAGGGCTGTGTCCCGGCTCAAAGCCACAGAGAGCATGAGTCGCTGGAAGGAGCCTGAAGGAGAAGTTATTGGTAGAACTTTCAGAGAGATTGCGTCTGCCCCGGCATGTCAGCCCTGAAAATTAGCAGGATTTTTCCAAAAGCGCCACCAGGGCTGGCCCACGAGAGAGATGCTTCCCACTGCTGGACTGGCAGGGGATCCGCTGGAGGGGACCTGAGCCTGGAGCCAGGGCAGCAGGCTTCTCTGGGGCCGATCACACGCTGCAGGGGGCAGGGGCTCGCTGCACACACAGGCCTTCCTGTCTGCTTCATGCTGGGGAGGAGCGTTGGCCCGGTCAGACCCTCTGAGGCCGTTTGGACATTGTCTCCATGCTTTGCATTTGAGTTTTTATTCACATAGGATCTGCTTTGCTCCAACAAAAAACGATTGCAGTTTCTTTAGGTAGAGAACGTTTTCAGCGAAGCACCTGTTGCTTAGAGCACATTTCAGATATGGCCATGGCCACACGAACCCACGCGTGCATCACGCTTAACCCCGTGTTGGTGGTATAGGCAGAGCACGCCCCGCAGCGCGGGCAGACACAGGCAGGGAGAGCGAGGTGCGGTCACGTCTCCTCCAGCCGTGGTCGGTGGCCTTCAGGGGCAGCCGAGGGAAGGGCGAGTTTTGTTCCATTTAGATTTGCTTTTTCATCCCCATCTTCCGAATGTCCACACCTCCCAATCCTTCTGAAACTTAGCAACTGTCTCCAGCGGTGTCCCGGGCTGCCGCTCTCAGAGATGTCAGAAGCGGAGAGGAGACGTGAGCCTGGGACCAAAGAATTCAAGGTGGAATTGTGGGAGCCGGGTTTTGCTCAACATGGAGCTCTTTCTAAAAGCCTGAGCCCCCAACAGTGAGCGACCGACGTGGGCCTCAGGGCTTCCTGTGAGGGGGGATGGGCTGTGCTCCCTCCAAATCCTGCCGCAGCCTCTTGTGCTGGCTAGTCAGACGGACAGACGGACTGGAAGACGTCTGTGCTGCTCTCCGGCTCTTTTAGATTGTTATGACCGCACAGAACCTCCATTCGCCCCCGAAAGCTGCCAGCTGCCGCCGTCTCCAACCCTTCCGAGCGGTTCTCTCTGTCAGCATCCCTGTGAGCCAGCCCCGCGCAGACATCGGCACGGGCAGGCTCCCGTGGGCAAACCCGCAACCTTGCCAAATGTCTTCTTTCTCCGTCCAGTCTTCCAGATGCTCCAAAGAGCACAGCGTTTCAGAGTCACTCTTCATTACAATCTGCACATTTGCCAAACGGTTGCCCTGATACACAGGATGGCCTGCATTCGCTTTATCCTACATCATCAGTTACGTTTAGAAAAGAAGTTCACTGACCCAGACCCTGTCCACAGGCACGTCAGGTGGGGAGTGCGCTGAGCTCAGCAGCATGAGGACAAAGTATTATAAAAGCCCACCCCCCTCCCGGTGGGAGAAGTGGCTGCAGGAAGGAGAGGATGCCTAGGACCTGGGCTTGCCCTGCGGGGAGCCCTCCCTCCCCCCCTCACTCCCCTCTCCCTGTTCCCGCCCGGCCGCCTTGTGGCAGCCACCACGAACACAGTCGCAGACTCAGTGTTCCCAAATGGCACAAGTAACCCAAGCTTCTTGGAAACTAGGGGAAACCATGGAAATGGGTGCCGTTGGGGGTCCTGCTATCGCCTGACATGGAGTTTCTGGTCAATGCTTCCAACATGTCCTTAAGATTTCAGCCTGCTCGTGACGAGCGGGCCACTGTGTGAACACTGGGAGGGGGGAAACGTTTTTTAAAATTTGCCAAAAAAGCTAGATGAACATGCACCACTGTACAAAGCAAAGCTGTACATACTAAACGTTTTTTAGCAGAGTACTATTTATTTGCATAGCCTATTTATTGTATTCGTATCGCGCTGTTATTAAATGCTGGGACCGAGTCCACGAGCGGCCGCGGCCAGGGTGCCCACCTCACTTCTCAGGGACCACACCCCGTTGTTTCCCACCATCACCGGAGCTGGTAAATATGAAACATGGGTTGAGTTACCAGAATCGCCATTAACAGTATTTCCCTTCTCAGACTTCATGCTTTCTGCTTCTGTACATATATGACTGTGTGCTGTGTATTTATCGAAGCTAGTAAGCAATAATTTATATGTAAAAAACAAAAACACAAAAAAACACAAAAACAGCCGGGCAATATAAGGTGAAAACTTATACGTCACTGTTACCTTGTATTTTCAAGTGTTTTTTTTAAAACTGCTTTTCCAAATATAAGACGATGCTAATAATGCTAACCGTGCCTGGGAGCTTCTTGCTGTGTCCGTGATGCGTGTGGGTGCAACGTGGGGGCGGCTTATTACACGCAGTAGTTGGAACTTGGAAATCGCTTGCTCCCTGTGAGAGTTGGGAGGGGGTGAAGCGGTCCACAGACGCCCACATCACGCACACTGCCCCTGAGTTACTGCAGACCCTCGGGTCCTGGCCTGGAAATTGCATCAGCTTCCTCAGGTTCTAGGATGTGGAGAGTTCAGCGACGCCCTCATCCCCTCACCCCCTGGAGCAGGGCCGGGGCCTGGGGAGCGCTGAGCCCTGGTGGGATGGCCTGGGCCTAGGTACACCCGGACACACGCGTGTGGGCAGACGCTTCCGCAGACGGTGCTAACGATGCTCTAGGGCACATGTGTCAAACACAAGGCCCGCGGGCCAAATCCGTCCCGCCAGGCCTTGCAATGTGGCCCGCACCACGCTGTCATCACTGCACTCCGCTGCGTTTCCATCACAATGACAGTTTATGACTGTTCAGTAAACCATTCAGCCCGCGATTTAGGCTGGATTTTAGATTTTGGCCCCTTCTCTGATTGAGTTCAACACCCCTACTCGAGGGAAACGGGATGTCTCGGTGCCCACGCACCCCGGTGGCCTGTCCTCCCAGCCCTCTCTCCCCCTCTGTGGAAGGGCGGCATGTCCTGCCCCCTGGTGTCCGGCCGGGCCCACGTGGTGGTCCCTCCCGCGCAGGGCATATGTCTCCCCAGGTTGATCTCATAGTGGCCACGGTCCTGCTCTGTCCGGGGAACAAAGGGAGGAAGTGGCCGTGTGGCCTGGAAACCGGAGCCTCACCTCAGCGATCAGGTGAGCGGGGGAGGCGGTTCCATCACCTGCTCTCCAGCTCTGAAGGACGTGTGACCTGAGTGAGAAATAAAACGTCATCATGAGAATCTACTGGGATTGGGCGTGTCTCTGGAGAATTTAGCCTGAGCTGGCAGATAGGTGCAGTCTCCCAGGACACTATCCTTGATGCACTGCCCTTTCCCTCAGCCCACGGGCGGGTAAGAGGCCCTGATGCAGGAGACCCCTGTGCTCCCAGGTCCTGCAAAGGCTTGTCTCTGCCCATGGGAAAGGGAAAGGGAGACCCCAGATGAGTTTCTCAGGACTTTCACTCCCAGGAAGTGGCGCTTCTGTGAGACAAGGGAAGGGGTGGAGCACACGGGGTGCAGAGTGAGGGACCCCAGAGCTTCCTGCTGTTCTGGTCCCATCATTGCCATCCCCCCCACCCCCCATAAAATCTGAGTGAGCGCGCAGGCCAGGAAGGGAGGGAGCCGGGCTCCAGTGGGGCGGGAGTAGGGAAGAAAGAGCCGGTCCCGTGGCTCGGGTACTTGGGGACTTTCTTCACTGGGGCTTCCCAAACTGGAAAGGCAAGGGCTCCTGCCAACTCAGAAGCCAGTTCTTGTTCAGATTTGCAAACCTCCAAATCTGGTCCTGGCCCCAGAGCACGAACACAGAATCGTGAGAGCTCCGTGTTTGGGCAGGCTCCCTTCTCAGGTCTCCTGGGTCCCAGTGAGCTGCTGTGTCTGGTCCCACTCGCTGCCGCACACAAGAGGTTCCTAAGCTTTAGGCGGCTGAGCCTCAGCAAAGTGCTCCTGGTCCCACCCTGTCATCACGGGGAAGGCCCCCCCACCTCCCTGCCCTGCCCCCACTCTGCCCGCGGCCTCTTATCCAAGGCCGGCTCCGGTTCACCGGGCTCCTGGGGGTGCGAGCTGGGACCCTGCTCCTGCCTCACGCAGAGCCTGTCACGTCGCAGCTCTCGGTTTTGTTTCCCTCATGGTGACTTGGTGTTCGCCCTGGAGGAGCTGGGTCTGCTCAGTCCAGCAGGATTCCTCCCCTTTCTCGGCCGGAGGTCCTCCAGGGGTGGCTCAGGGTTCCCTGTGTCAGCTGTCAGGGCACGTCTGCCTCACGGCCACTCCACTCCTCCCCACGGCACCTGCAGCCCCTCCTGAGCCCACAGCCCCGAGGTGAGGAGGTGACGGAATTCCTGGTCCTTCCCACTGCCTGGCCACACCACCCCACCCTCTGTTTTCCCCTAAAAAGGGGCAGACCAGGGGCAGACCTTCTCCACAGTCCACCTACGAAGAGAAGAACAAGCCCTAGACCCCGCCAATCTAGACCTCCTGCCCCCCACTGTCTAACCCCTCCCCCCCACTTTCTCCAGGGAAGTGGGGGTGGGGGAGGCAGGTGGTGCTGACTAGACTTTTCTCCTCCGTGTAGGACCTGCAGGGGGCCAGGTCCCAGCGTGGAGCCAGGGGCTGGGATGCTGGCTGGGAGGGGGCACTGACCCTCTGTCCTGAGGCCCCTTCCCTGCTCCCATGGTGGGAGGTTCCCAAGTTGTCTGTGTGGTTAGAGTCTGTCATTTCCAGGGAGAACTTGAGTGAAAATGATGGCATTCTGAGTAAATCCCTACGGTAGATACTTGGAGCCCTAATGGGGGTGGGGAATGGGGGGGGAAGAGAGAGACAGAGAGAGGAGAGAGGAGAGAGAGAGAGAGAGAGAGAGAGAGAGAGAGAGAGAGAGAGAGAGAGAGAGAGAGAGAGAGAGAGAGAAGACAGAGAGAGATTGATTGAAGTCCCGACAGCAGTTGGCCCCTCGGAAACTGGAGGCAGGGGCCAGGGCTTTCCCAAATTCTGGCCACAGGGGCTCCTGGCGGCTCCTGCTGGTGGGCCCTTCCTCCAGAGAGTCTGCTGTGGTGAGTGCCGCCAGCACCAAGCCCAAACCAGGAACCATCTTGGCTCCTAGCCCAGCACGGCTTAGTCCTCCAGTCCTCCACCAGCGGCTCCCGCTTTGCCCCCGCCCGGCCTGAGTGCAGCCCTGCTGCCTTCCTTCGGCCACGGTGGTCACCTGCCACCTCATCGCCCTCTTTTGAGTCTAGATGCCCCCCATGTAATCTCCAAACGGCTCTTCAAAACAGGTTTTTGTTCTAAAACACAAATCTGATGTGTGTGTGTTTCATCTGAAAACCCTTCAATAGTGCCTCCCAGGCTATAGCACTAAAGAAACCTCAACGGCACACGAGGGCTTCACATTTTGGCCTCTGCTTATCTGTTTGGGGCCAAAGAGATGGGGCTGGTGCCCCAGGACACTAATAAGGTGGAAGCCCCTTTAACCTGGTATCCCTCATGGGGAGATGAATTGATTCTTACTAAGGAAAATGCCTGTTGATTATGACTCGCACCAGACATTTGCTAAACAAGTAAGTGTATATGAGGCTTAATTGCTACGTGCGAGATATTCCATCTTAAAGCCAGACTGACAGGGACCCAGAGTTAGCTGGGGTTGGGGGTGGAGGGCCCTCCCCGGAGGAGCCCAGGCCACCGGAATTGCATTCAGGATAGATGAGCCCTTCCCCAGCAGAGATGTGCAAACAGACCCAAGCCCACTAGCAATCTGGTCACAGGATGCGGCTGGGCTAGGAGACCTCTGGGATCCTCCGGCCGGGCGGTAACGAAAGCCTGCAGCCTGTAATTGCTAGAGCTAATTACTTGGGCTTTATTCAAGGAAGTTGCTTGGCTGCTGTGGGAAATAAGAACTGTTCGTGCTCCTTTGTATTCTGGTGACCTGGGCTGGGCTGGAGCTGGCCGGCAGGCGGAGGGCGGAAGCCAGAAAGGAGTGCCTCGCCGCTCCCTGTCCGGTGCCCCTGCTGACTCCGCAGTCCTGCCCTGGACCAGGCCTGCCACAAACAGCCAAACAAAGGCCCTCTGTCCGCACAGAGGGCCTGCCTCCAGGTACCAAGCTGCCCCCCTCTCCCCTAGGGAAAGGAGGGGCCTCTGGTCCGCTGTCAGTGTTCCCAGCCCAGCCCTCTGGCCCCTCGTGCCTTCTCCCCAGACTCCCTGCCTGCACCCAGTCTACTCTGCTGGATACCCCTTTCCTGCCTCCCAGGCAAGGCTCATCCACAACCAAGCCCTCCTGAACCCCCTTATCCCTGTGTGAATTCCTGCAGCAGGTCCCACTCATCACTCTTGGGGGAACCACCCTGCATTGTCTTGCGGCCCTCCCCACCCAGCGTGGGCCGCCCAGAGGGTGAGGAGCAGAGCTAACAGTGCGGCCTCTTTAGCCAGAAGGCCATCAAGTTCAAGTCAGGCTCCGACGTGTAAGCTGGAAACACGGGCGAAGGTCTCCACCTTGAACTTGAACCCCATAAAACGGGGGTTACTCCGCCCCCTACCTGGCAAGGTGGTATGAGAAATCGCATGAGAAAATGCAGATGAAGTGCTTAGTGTCATGCCTGGTACCTAGTAGGCATTCAGATAACAACTGCAGATGGTGAGGATGGTGGTGATTAATGCGAGATACACACATTTGCACTCCATGGCCTGCAAGTTACTTAACTTCTCTTATCCTTGGTTCTCGCCATTGCCCGACAAGGCATTTAGTAACATCTGTGCCCAGGGCAGCGGTGAGCAAGCAATGGACAATGCAGGGAGCTCCAGTGAGATACAAATCCGAGGTTTCCTTTTGAACCCCCACTTTCCTTGCTCCGAACTGGGACAAAGCAAGGGTGCCCTAAACGTTTGCTGATTGATCTGAACAATGATATCTGCCTAGAGCCCGCAGAGTTGGCATAACCCTACTGTTAGCATTAACATTGACATTCGCGTGTATTAATAACGCGGGGAGAAGAAAGGCTGACTGACCCCTGGCAGCTGGGTGGGCTTTTCCTGGCCCTGTCCCCTGCTTCCTGTTCCCAGGTTTGGACCACAGGATGGGGAACTCCTAGGAGCATGTCCACCTCACAAGCTCTGGGCTTCCCCAGGGCAACACCGGAGCATCACAGTTTCCGAGGAGACAGAGGTGGACACATGCTCTCTGTCTCTAGCTGTGTCCTCTGCGGGTGGGGGCGGTTGTCTCTGGTTTCATGTAGAGTCAGTCGGTACCAGCTAAAGGGCTGACCTCAGAGCCTGGGTTGAGATGCAGCTCCCTTTGTGAGACAGAAAAGTAGGACGGCCAAAAGGACAGCGGACAG